ACAAATATTACTTGTCTTATAAAAATCTGACCTCTCTAGTTTTGTGCTATGTCTAAAATAACACTGTTACTGATTTATAGATAAGGGTGTGTGTGTGAATGAGTTGTGGTAAAGAAAAGCTGTTTCTCCTCTTATTGAAGAAAGTCAGTCAAATAGGTGGCTTAGGAGATTTTATTCACTTTTTCTATCTCTGAACATTAAATCCTTCTCAGTTGGATATCATTTATCACCTCCTACCCCCCCCCCAAAAGAAGTCAGACTTTGTTCACTATATTTACTTTTTATCTTTAACTAAAAACATCACAGACAGATGGTTCTGGGAAGATAAACCTTGATGAGTTTCGACACCTTTGGAATAAGATTAAGAGCTGGCAGGTATTCTTTGTTTCTTGCATATTTTGAAAGATAGAGGGTAAACTAGCTTGTGAATGTCAAAGTCTACACATAGCACGCCAAAATTGAACCACAAAAGATGACTGGGTTCCTCTCTACATCATTTCATTCTTTTTTTTCATTTTCAGACCATTTTCAGACATTATGATACTGATCAATCAGGAACTATTAACAGCTACGAGATGCGTAATGCAGTTAAAGATGCAGGTATCACACAGGGATCAATTCTATATATTGCTTAAAGAGCATTTTTATTCCTATTTTGTCTTTGATAAAGTGGGTTATATCCAACTAAGTCATTCTCAGATGAGACCCATTAACAAAGACCTATGTTAGATATGTCCATTAATTTCAGTGGCTCAACTCTGAGTAAGACTTACTTTGATTCAACACTATGCTTTTGTTTTAGCAGGAAACATAGAGAAAGGGGACCTGGGACCTTCCAGAACTTTCTAAACTCCTACCTTCCTTTACCATTGGCCAAGCTTGTCTGGGGCTGATGGAATCTGGAGTTTCCCATTACTTATCCAAGTGATATTACCTCTAAAAAAAGGTCAGAGGATAGACAAAAGCAAATTCCTATCACCCAGGACGTTCCATTTTGTTTCTCTCCTCAGGGTTTCACCTGAATAACCAGTTGTATGACATCATTACAATGCGATATGCTGACAGAAATATGAACATTCAGTTTGACAGCTTCATCTGTTGTTTCGTGCGACTAGAGGGGATGTTCCGTGAGTATTTTTTAAAATGTATTTAAAATGGTTTTATCCAAGGAGTGCCCAAGGAGGTTAACTCGGAGTGTAATAAGCTCCATACCACATGGAAATGTTCCGATTGATTCAAATGCATGCATGTAATGCGGACAGTTTAGATGTAAACACTCTTCACAGCCAGGAGGCCTTTCTGGGTTTTGGAAAGCTTGCCTTCAGAATCATTCCAAACTTTCCTTGTTTGTGTTCTAGCTGCTGGTTCATTTACTTATCCTCTAGCCTTTAGAGGCCCTAAGTACTTAAAAGGTTTTGGTGCACCCATATTCAAGATATAAACACGTGAGCCTTGGTGGACCAAGCGGCATTAGTCCCAAGATTAATGTATATTATTAATTTATAAATAATATATTTATTTATTTATTTATTGTTGTTTTCATTTTTATTTTGGGGGTTGCCTTTTCCCCCCAGCTGCACCATATGGTCCATGGTAAATCTAGCAATGGGAAATTTATGTTGTGCCCCCCCTTCCCTTGATGTTCTAAGCCAGGCATAGGCAAACTCCAGCCCTCCAGATGTTGGGGACTACAATTCCTATCATCCCTAGCTAACAGGACCAGTGGTCAGGGATGATGGGAATTGTAGTCCCAAACATCTGGAGGGCTGGAGTTTGCCTATGCCTGTCCTAAGCACGTGCTTATTTTGCTTGATGGTTAATCCAGCCCTGCCTCAGCTCGACACCATACCAAGGAAAAGAATGGGGGAAAGGCCCTAGAAACAAGCAGTATGTCCATATTGACTGTTAATTTTTTTAACATTATTAATCTCTTGAGAGGAAAGGGCAATCCTGAGATAAAATTATTAGAAATTGCTATGCCATTTTTTATTCAAATTTTGGGGGTTTTTTTGTTTTTGCCCATTCTGTTTGAAGATTAGCTTTCAAATATGGCAGCTATCAGGATCTTCCAAGCTTACTAATATCATTGCCTATATTTATGAATTCCCAGCACACACATCACACTGTTCAGGAGATGACTGGTATTTGTTTCTAGCATTTGAAACACTGAAGTTCTTGAAACCTCATAATTCTGAGGGCTGCTAGTTGGAATGCTCTATATTTTACATTGATTGACCGTATGCTTTGTTTTCTCCTGTCCCCTTAGGTGCATTTCATGCCTTTGATAAAGATGGCGATGGTATTATTAAACTGAATGTCTTAGAGGTAACCACTTTTACTTTGTGTTGTACTTCAGTTTACAGCTGTACTGTTCCAATTTTTCTCCTTAATGAGGGGGCATACTAAAAAGAATAGGAAGACTGAAGATAAAATCAGTTTGGGGGCTGATTCTCATGTTGCATTTCCATACATGTATGTATGCATGCATGTTTATATTGTGCACCCATACAGAGGTATTGGGAGCAATAAATAAACACCACCTTTTGTGGGTTTAGCAAGCTCACACCTTTCTTGTTTATAGTACTGTGAGAGGCAGTGAGAGATTTTACTTTCTTGGGCTCCATGATCACTGCAGATGGTGACAGCAGCCACGAAATTAAAAGACGCCTGCTTCTTGGGAGAAAAGCAATGACAAACCTAGACAGCATCTTAAAAAGCAGAGACATCACCTTGCCAACAAAGGTCCGTATAGTTAAAGCGATGGTTTTCCCAGTAGTGATGTATGGAAGTGAGAGCTGGACCATCAAGAAGGCTGATCGCCGAAGAATTGATGCTTGTGAATTATGGTGCTGGAGGAGATTCTTGAGAGTCCCATGGACTGCAAGAAGATCAAACCTATCCATTCTGAAGGAAATCAGCCCTGAGTGCTCACTGGAAGGACAGATCCTGAAGCTGAGGCTCCAATACTTTGGCCACCTCATGAGAAGAGAAGACTCCCTGGAAAAGACCCTGATGTTGGGAAAGATGGAGGGCACAAGGAGAAGGGGACGACAGAGGACGAGATGGTTGGATAGTGTTCTCGAAGCTACCAGCATGAGTTTGACTAAATTGCGGGAGGCAGTGGAAGACAAGAGTGACTGGCGTGCTCTGGTCCATGGGGTCACGAAGAGTCGGACACGACTAAATGACTAAACAACACAACCCAATTGGGCATGACATGATATCTAGCAGCCCAACTGCTAGCCCATACCAAGTCCAAGTGTGGGGAGAATTGACCATTCAGTTGGGCCCCTCAAGAAACCTGAGTGTGTTGCTGTCGATAGCCCCCAATATAATTTTAAATCTGACCCAATCCATGTTTACTCAGAAGTAAATCCCACTGTGTTTAATGGGACTTGCCTTTCAAGTGGAATGATAAACTTAGGAAGGTTACACAGATAGCCTAACAATTGTTCTGCACTTTAAACATTGCTGTTGTCACTTAACATTTCTCCCTTCCTTCCAGTGGCTGCAGCTAACCATGTATGCCTGAAAAACATCACTTCTGTTTCTGTCTTCCGTCTCAAAATCACACCTTGTCTTTTGAACTGAAAGCAGCCGGTCGATATTCACTTGCAAGACAGGGACTTCTGCGAATCTCCATCTTTTAACAGCTTAGATGGCGAGGGCAGCACAACTCGAGAGGAACATAAGGAAGCAGCATCTATCTCCCTTTACCAAGTGACAGTAAATTGAAAATGTACTTTTCCAGTTATTGATAACTGACACCAGGACGAAGGCATATTTTGCATGAGAAAGTTGCAGCCCTCACTGTGGTGGGAAATGCATTGTTCTAGGGCACGCCGGCAATCATTTACAACAGGGGTGGTGAACCTCAGGCCTGAATCTGGGCCTCTGGGCCTCTTTATCCAACCCTTGGGGCTCCTTGCCTCCACAACATGCCTCAGCAGCCCTGCTCCATGCTCTGTGCTCAAGTGCTTTTGCCTGGCTGGAATATGCCTGTGAAATGTGATAATGCCACTTGCTTGCCCGGATGAAGCATGGAGAAATGCGTCTTGAGGATGTGCGTTGAAACCTCTGCTCACATTCTTAAAATGTAGATGCTGTATACAAAGGTAAGAGCTGCCCCTGTTACTCTGCCCACCACTGACATGTAGACCCCTAAGGTTTTTTGTTTTGTTTTTTTTATTTTTTAAAAAGATGGTCCTCCCTCCCAGCATTGCAAACAACTATTGTTTTAAGCTTGAAATGTTTTGCAGTAAGAGATCCTAAGGGGCCAGGAATCTTGGACAAGTTATCATTATTAAAACAGTTATTTCTAAAGTCACCTACAAGTGATGGATCTAGTTTTTAATGGAATTCAATGTTGCACTAAGGCAATTGTTCCGTCAGGGAAGCATTTTGGCTTGCTACCTATGACAATTCTTTCCTTTTCTCCCTTCCCACACTCGAGCCAATCTTAGAGGTAGAGAGAAAATCTCTGTTGAGCAAGCAGAGGTCCTTGTGCAGGACTTCTGGTGACAGGACTCATTAGTTGAATCCCACCCAATGTACTTGAAAAGAACGTGCCTCTTAATATTTAGCTGTGTGATAAATGTTTGCGTACTTCTCTTTGCATCCTGCAGTCATATCTAAGCTACATTATTCCTGTGGCCAAAGTTTCCCTGCGACGGGGTGAGCTCCCGTTGCTCGCTCCCTGCTCCTGCCAACCTAGCAGTTCGAAAGCACATCAAAGTGCAAGTAGATAAATAGGTACCGCTCTGGCAGGAAGGTAAACAGCGTTTCCGTGTGCTGCTCTGGTTCGCCAGAAGCGGCTTAGTCATGCTGGCCACATGACCCGGAAGCTGTACGCCAGCTCCCTCGGCCAATAAAGCGAGATGAGCGCCGCAACCCCAGAGTCGGTCACGACTGGACCTAATGGTCAGGGGTCCCTTTACCTTTACTGCACATGTTTGCCTCTGGCTCCAACCACCACAATCCTGTGACTCTCTGGCTGAAAAAGCTTCCCCATCCCTCCTACAGGGATTCTGGCTGAGCCTGTAGTCTTGCAAATCATCTAAGGCTGCAGAAAAATGTGCTCCTCTAGCCACATTATGGCTTTTTTCAGCTCCAGGCTTAAATATTACACCTTGGGGAAATTGACTGACTTAATTTGATGCTGGTTCTCTTGCAAGTAAAACCTATCGCAGACAGCTGCATCTCCAATATAAGCAATTTTAGGCTGCTTCACACAAAGCTTTTTCCTACACAGGAACAGCTTATGTGGCGAGAAATGGTTTAAAGCGTCTGGTACTGCATGTGTTTGGCAGGCACAGTCTCCCTATTACAAAAATACCTTGTGTAGAGTGGTTTCATTGCTGAATGAAACTTCTTAATGCATAAATTAAAACTTGTCTAGATGTGCTGGGTTGAAATTATGATGATGTAATACAAGGGTAGGCAACCTAAGGCCCGGGGGCCAGATGCGGCCCAATCGCCTTCTAAATCACGTGTTTTTACATGAGTAGAATGTGTCCTTTTATTTCAAATGCATCTCTGGGTTATTTGTAGGGCATAGGAATTCGTTCATTTTTTCCCTCCAAAATATAGTCTGGCCCACCACATGGTCTGAGGGACGGTGGACTGGCCCATGGCTGAAAAAGGTTGCTGACCCCTGATGTAATACATTTGACAAAAGCTACAGAGCGTACTAAGGCTACAAAGGTATCTAGATAGACACAACTGGAAATATTTTAACAGTGCCATCCAATAAACATTTCTGCTTATGTTCTGAGTTGCTGTCAGCTTTTGAGAATAAGAACAGCCCTGCTGGATCTAGTCCAGCATCCAAATCAGACCAGTAGCCATCCAGATGCTCATGGGAAGCCAAGAAATAGAACTTGAACACAATAGTCCTCTCTTCCCACAGTTTCCAGCAGCTGGCATTCAGAAATATGCTGCCTTCAACCATGGAAGAACAGTAGGGCCATCCTGACTACTACCTATTGATAGTCTTAGCCTTCATGAACTTGTCCAATGCCATCCAAGTTGGTGGCCATCACGGCCTCCTGTAAGGAGTGAGTTCCATAGTTTAACTATGTGCTTTCTTTTATCTGTCGAAGGCTTCTTGCCAAATCCCACGTCAAAGAACCACTTTTCTGCTCTTTCTACCCACACAAATCATACCAGCAAGCCAGCTAAAACACTTTTACAAGTATCAGAAGAATAAAGGCCACACCATATTTCTCTTGGTACAAAGTAATTTTTATTGTCTGTTTTGTTTTTTACTTCACAGCTTTGTAGTAAAAAAAAAGGAAAGGAAAGACCAAGTCACTTTGTGCATATGAGCCACACAGGTCATCCAACTGAAACAAAATGCGTTGCGAAAGCTGCCAATACATTTGTTATAGTGTGTATTACCTATGCAGTTTCTCAACTAGTATTACTCATGGTCACACCAATCTGTTCTCGCTTCACAAGGTATATTATGTAATTTGAGACATCCTAGTTGTGTTAAGATCATAGCACTGCACATGAAGGAAAATGAGAAGTTGTACTTTTGTCATACAATGCTATGTGAAAGCCATCCTGCTAGGACCCTAAAGATCTAGGAAGGGCAAGTTAGCTAGCGGTTGCATTGCTTTCATACTGGTTTTTAATTAACTGCCACTCAAGGTGTAAGAGCTCTACAAATATGAATCTAGAACTTGCATTTTTAAAGACAACCATAAAGCTTGAACATAGGCTTATAGTCTACTTGACATTTAGGACAAAATCCAGAGACATTAAGATGGGAGTTTAACTACTCAATTCAGGTGGGATGTGGACTGTCCCTTTTGTGTTTTGATTTAACATTACAGAGGTCTATTCCTTCATGCCCAAGTATTTGTCTCAAGGGGCAAACAGAAGCTGGGGTAGCCAATGACATTCAGTTGCATTTAACGGCACAAAAGATGCAAACAGCTGAATAGCTGAGCCAATTCCCTGAAAGGTGATATGCAAACCATTCCCCTGCAGCATAGCTGCAGCACACACCAAACACACACTTGCATTCAATCAACAAGATAAATGGCATTAAAAAAAAATCTACTGCATTGGGAAACGGCACTGGCAATGCAGTCCAAATTCACTTCAGATGCAGCAACACAACAGCTTACTCAAACAGTAACACATACATTAGCACACTTTCCACACAATTCAAGAACACTCCACAACTCCCCCTCTAGCCACTTCATTTCTATCTATTTCCTTTCCAAGGCTAGCCCCCCCCCCCCCAAAAATGCACAATGTTTCTCTTTCAAAATTTTCAAGATAAATTCAACTTACATGTGGAACGGTGCCAGAAACCCAGAACCAAAAACATGACGGAATACATCATCTTGATGTACCCATTTCACAATTCCTACAGTTAACAAATTACTACTATCCTTTCTATCTCCATGCTTTTGGCAGAATCTGGAGGAAGAACCTCAAGAGAACAGAACCTCAAACCAAAAATATTCCTGAACTAAAAAGAAAAAAAATACAATCTGAAGGACGAAACACTGCAGTTCTAGGGAGAAATTACTGCAGTGAACTGAAGCAATGGGACCTTCTATCATTTTATAATAAATTATGAACATGTGACATGGTTTAGAACAGTTCTTCTCAAATAAAGACAAACATATGGAACCAACTTTTGTTAAGACATGACTCAAGCTTATTGCTAAACCAATTTGAAAATTATCTAAGGCAGTATTCCCTAACATGGTGCTTTCCACTTGTTCTAGACTACAATCATTCCTGATCATTGGCCATCTGGCTGGGGGCTGATGTTGCAGTTCAACACATCTGGAGGGCACCATGTTGGAGAAGGCTGATCTAAGCATCCCAAAATGGATTAAAGGAAAATCTGTCTTCACATTCACCTTAAAAACACACACATACCTCTTATTTACTAAAACAACCAAGAACATAAGTAAATAGTGCAAGTTGTGCATCACTTGCAACAATTTAGTAAAACACACACCCACACTTAAGAATACGTTTTTGCCAAAAAAGTTACCATCCTCTTCCAGTAAAGAGAAGAACCTTTGAGGAGGATGCAAAATTAAAATCCATTCACTGACTAATCCTCAAGACAAACACTGCACTCCACATCATTTTCTTACACTCTCCCTGGCTCTGCAATTTCATTCCAATCACATTCAACTAAGGAAGATATAAAAACAATCCTTTTTTAGAACACACACACACTTACGTGCTCCCATCTATGGACTGAATGCGCTAACAATTTGCTCACTTTATTATTTAGTTCTGATGGTCTCATTGTGCAAGAGAAGACAACACACAAACCTCAGAAACCTCCCGCAAACAGATTGCAGGTGGTTACCACTACTCATTAGAAAGTTTTCTCCTTTCCAACAACAGAACCCTAGCAGCAAGCTGGTTTGAAGACAGTTTGGACATGTGCGAAAGGCAGAAGGAGAACACTGTATCTTGAGACAGACATGGTGATTTCAAAGGGAGAACTTGTTTCACTTCTCTGCTAGTGCAATTTCTTAAGATCATGGAAGCCAGATTTGTAGGTATTGGGGTGGGGTGGGGGTGATATTCCTTTGATGGTCTGTTTCACTCATCAAAAAGCTAAGGCTTAAAATGCAGTAGGAATACTGGAGAGTGTTCCAAAACTCCTTAATAGCTCCAAGTCCTTTGGCAAGCTGGCGAGGTGAAATGCAATCTCCAGCTGTAGGCCTGTTCTATATCTTACACCAGGCACCCCCAACCTGCGGCCCTCCAGATGTTTTGGCCTACAACTCCCATGATCCCTAGCTAACAGGACCAGTGGTCAGGGATCATGGGAATTGTAGTCCAAGACATCTGGAGGGCTGAAGGTTGGGGATACCTGTCTTACACCAAGCTGTTGAGAACACTTTCCCATGGGAGCATTAACTTTCACTTTTAAAATGCTGATTTCAAACACGCATTGCTCTTTTAATATGTATGCATAATCTGAAGTAAGAAAACTGAAACAAGTCAAGACCTACACAGCCAGACAGCTCTAGATTGTTATTGAGAATTCCAGTTTTCCTCTGAAATGATCCAGAAAAAGACTGAAGCCGATGAGAACAAAAACACTGGCTGAGACTTAAGGAACGAAACTCTTTATGCGCCAAACTAAGAACTGCTGCCTCAAAAAAACCCGAACACCACTGCACGTATGCACATTTCTTTCCAACGCACATGCACACCTTTCATTTCTTTGCATTGTGACTACTGTTTTAAAATTGAATTAGTTTCTCAGGTTGCTACTTCCGTCATTATGCACTAGACGGTGGCAAAACACACACACACACAAAAAATACTCTCAGCTTCTGCTTGGGCTCCTTGGACTTCATAATTTCGCATTTTACACCCCACAGCATTTTCTGTTGCATGGTAACGTTCAATCATGTAGTCATCAGAAACAAAACCAGATTATAGTAGGAGAAGATGGCCATCCCAAAGCTGCATTAGAAATATAGGATGCTGGACAGAAAGAAGTGGACACTCCAAAAACTCAGCAATTTAAAAACACCACAAGGTCATCCATTTACAAAACAAGCTCTTAAGAATCAGGGGCATAGTCCCATTAATGTGGTAAGAAAGCAGTGGATGTAAACATACAGATAATGAATGTTTAAAAGCCGAAATCATTATCTGCAGTCGTCTTTTTGCATCAACGTGCTTATCAATATAAAAATAACAAAAAAGTTCCATTAAATCGGTGATACCCCCTAAGTTATAAGAGTACACCCAATGAAATCAATGGACTGAAGTTACTTAATTGATTTCAGCAGGTCTATTCAGAGTAAGAGTAACATTAACTATGACCCGATGTGTTTAGAAAACAGCTATTTTGCTGTTTAAGCAATGCAGTATGTTGCACCTCATCACAAACCTCTTTGTAACAGATACAGACTGTGGCAACTCACTGCGCAGATGTGGCATTTGGAATTCAAGATAACCCACTGAAGATCAACCAAAAATAAAAAAGGAATCCATTTCTTCTAATATTACCCATTAATATCTTTCATCAAAAGATGTTATAACGAAAGGAAATAGAGAGCTGGATGCTTTGTTGGTATTTCTAGTCTGAGTTGTTGTTTCTTTATTTAAATTGTTTAAAGCCAAAAGTGTAAAATGCCTGGGCAATCCTGTGTACAACATAAAAATAGATGGCTCAACAGTGTTTTTTAGGCACCAACGTGAGTACTAATAAAGGCTTAGATGTGCACAATGTACTTCTTTGATAGGATAACAGGATTTATTTATTTTTGTTTCTGCTAACAAATTAAAACAATTTGTTTGGTCTGAGTCTGTTCATCAATCCCTTCTCTACAGAGTTGCAAGCAAAATGCTGTCTCTGTAGCACAGAAAGAAAGAAAAGAAAACGGCCCACGTCCTTTTTGCAGTCCAAATATAAACTGAAGGTGGAAAAAGGAGAGGGCAAGAGGTGGACAAGGCATGGAATACTTCCAGTATATAAAAGGTACTTCCCAATGTGGGAGGCAAAAAAAAAACAAAACACCTTCATGAGTCAACCTTGCTATCTTCTTCTGCATGTTTTTCAATATGTCCCACAGCATCCTAGAGAAAGAGAGATAGATTTCACCAAATTTCTACCAACCGGTACAAACAATACTTCTATACCCATGTAAAGATTTAAGCACTTTTTTTTGTTCACTTTTGTTTTAAGGCAGCACTGTACATGTTGCATTACACAGTAGAAGTGGGGGACCTTAGTGTAAAATCAGGACCTCATCTTCCTTTTCCATCTATATTTAAAACTGTGCTATTTGCATCTAGACTTAAATCAGGCCCAACCTTGCTTTTCGTGTAGGCCCCTGTCCTTTCTCCATATATCAGGAGCCATCAACAAGGTGTCCCTACAACTTCCATCAGCCCCAACCAGCACAACCAAAGTATTTTTGCTAAAACATTAATATGCTATTTGTTCCTCTATCATAACAAAACAGCAGGTATCCATTGCACCTCAATTGTTCCCTCTCAAACTGGTTTAATCCAGCTTCTTCTGCTACGTACCTGCTTGGAACATTTCCGAGAAGTGAAGAAGGCATCACAATTCTTCCAGCGACATTTCAGCGTTTGAAAATTTGGATTTGTATGGTCATTTAACAAATGCTGTTTCAGGTGGTCCACAACTCCAAATATCAGCGAACACCCGTGCCACTGGCGAGAGAGGTTTTAAGACAGACATTAGAGAGATGGAATGACAATAGCATAAAAGCTCCAAAAGACAAGAGCTTTATTAGGTCAACCAAAATGTCACAAAATAGTGTGCCAACTTTTAAGCTCTCTATAATTATTCATTGGGCTTGATGGTATATGAAGTGGGAATCAAAAACTGGCTGGTGATGTAGCCAGAGTCTGGAATGTCAGAGGCAGTAGCAGATATTCATATGAGGCTATGTTACGCTACCTTTTCCTTTTGTGCGATTTGTCCTCTGAATGTCTGCAATCTTGTCACATGACCCTTAGTCTCACTACCAGCAACTTCCCACCTCAAACCCTGCTTTGTTTACCATCTAGCCCAGGCTTCCTCAACCTTGGCCTTCCAGATGTTTTTGGCCTACGACTCCCATGATCCCTAGCTAGCAGGACCAGTGGTCAGGGATGCTGGGAATTATAGTCTCAAAACATCTGCAGGGCCAAGGTTGAGGAAGCCTGATCTAGCCTGATGAAGAGTTCTGGAAAGCTCGAAAGCTTGTTCTTGATCCTGTAACACTGATTGGCCCTACATATGGATTTTGGAACCAACAAATACGTTTGGCGTGGTTAATGCTAACAAGAGATGGAAGAGGGGGTCCCATGCAAGCCCCCCCATGTCCCTGGACATGTCAGCTGCACTTGAGATCTTCGCACGCCGAGTGAAGATGTCTGTAGAGAGATGTGTATTCAACTGAATGCACCTGGAAACTCTCCCTCTTAACCTGATAAGGCAGAGTTCCATCTAGCACAGAAGTTTCTATGTGGCTCAATTGAACACACTTAAAAACTCTTGTTAGCACAGACTTTTGTGCTAATCTCTCAAGAGCATCTGGAAAACCCAAGGGAGGGGTTTCCATGGGTGCCCCTGCCCCATCTAACCCTTTGCCTGGATATAGCTCATGATGTAAGCCATTCTAAATGGTCTAAAGGGAACAAGAAAATCCTTTACCCAACAGCGATAATTCTGCATCAAGTTGAGCCGCACAGCTTGGATAGTACCATCGTAGCAGCCAGTGTAGATCTGAAAAAGAGAAATTGATCTAAATGGTAACAAAATTAAAGCATACAAGGAAAACCAACATGCTAAATGCATCAATCAATGCTGATAAATTTATAATGTCATCCTGAGCTGAACATTCCTGATTTGATCTGCAGGAGTTTACAAACCGGAGTGGGGGGGAGGCGCTTATTTTTTGGATTCGTTATTCTTTCAAAGAATCTGTACACATGATAAAAAAGGGCCAATATTAAATCGCTTTCCGTTTTAATAGTTATGAAAAAGCAACAGCTGACGTATTTTTTGAAACTTTAATAAATATCATTATAAAAAAAAAGAAAAAGCAACAGCTGTTTTACAGTATAGTCACATTACATGTGCATTTAACTTGTGCAAATTCAATTGTATGTGCTCAGCTCCAGCTTGTAGTTTTATGTGTAGCAAGACTGCTTTCCTTCTTCTCTGGGGTGTTGCAGCAGCAACCCAGTTTCCTCAGGTGTGAAAACCAATGGGGAAGGGGTGGGGTGGGCTGGGCTGAGACAAAGTCAGAGGGGAGGCAGACAGAGAAAGAGATGCAGGCGAAAGAAAAAGGCTAGAATGGAACTGCAGCTTTTGCCTATGACTCTTTGTCTGTCTTCCTCTGCTCAAAAATCCAGAGAGTGCTGCTGCAAGTCAAACAAGACTTTGGATTTGATATCCCACTTTATCACTACCCGAAGGAGTCTCAAAGCGGCTAACATTCTCCTTTCCCTTCCTCCCCAATAACAAACACTCTGTGGGGTGAGTGGGGCTGAGAGACTTCAGAGAAGTGTGACTGGCCCAAGGTCACCCAGCTGCTGCATGTGGAGGAGCGGAGATGCGAACCCGGTTCCCCGGATTACGAGTCTACCGCTCTTAACCACTACACCACACAGGCTACATAGTCAAACAATCTGCCCTGGAATAAAGCAAGACAGCTTCGTATGCTCCCAAGCTACAGATGTACGCTTGCATTCTTTCAGGTGGAAGTGTCTCATGAGGCACTGCTTGGGAAGTCTTCTGACATTTGAGGGTTTTTGGTGGGGGTGGGTGCTTAAAGGCCCTATCGTTTCATAGCAGCACCAGGCCTGTGGAGAATGAAGTGCTCCTCCCACCAGAACAAACCAAGTATGTAGTTAGTTTACAAAGTACCACCCACAAAGCAAATGAGAAGCAGGAGCCACTCCTGGATAACCACAACCGCAGCTAGAGAATCACTGATTTTATGGAAATTGAGGTATTCGTTACCATGCTCTTGTGAATGGTCATGCACATAATCATATCCGAGTGTCCTCCGTAGACTTGCAAACGATCATGGGACTTGGGACAAGAAAAGAGAAAGAAAAATGTTGTATTTTAATAAGCTGAGAGTTCAGCATTCATTTTTTTTTTTTTTAAAGCAGCTTATAAGGAGAAGATGCATGAACATTATAAGCTTCTAGCTCCTGGGGTGTCCCATGCCCCACAACTGTACCTCACTCTTTCTATAAAATGCTGCTGCCTTCTGGCAACATGAGGGTGAATGAATTAGATTCCCTCGAGAAAAATTTTTAAACAATGGAAGGCACCTGGGAAACCTCACAAACCTTTTGAGGGCATGACAAACATGTAACACAAACTTAAGAATAAAGATGCATCTAGCAAAGGATTGTGCTGCAATCTCACTTGCAGTGGGTTGGATGCAGTGGGCAGGAACAGGCCACGCAGCAACTGCACAACTTTTGCAGGACTTCTAAAAAGCCCAGCTTGGAACTACAAGGGACGTTCTAAATTACATCTCACCAAGCCGAAAACTGTCTGGGTATATTCCACAAAGCGCTAAGGAGAGTGTCCCGCCAGGGCCAGTATTTCTGCCTACCCAACAGAATTATTTCCCCTCTCCTCCTCCCGTGTGCTGTTCTCGAAGTTCTCCTGACTCTCTGGAGCAGATCTGGAGAGGGCAGGGGGGCAGGAGAGAGGGGAAAGTCCTGTTGTGCTGGATTCCACTAGGAGAGGAAGAGGTTTCAGCAAAAGCAAAGGGCATCACTCCCCACCTGCTGCCAGCAGTGGTATGTCACTACAAACAATAGAAATTAGAATAGATATCTTCTTTTTTTTACCTGTAGCTCATAAACACGAACACATTTGTCCAGGCAAGCTGTTAACATCACTTTACCCAGGATGTTCACAACTGTCACTGCATGGTTGTGTCCTTTATAAATCCGCACCAGCTCTCCAGTCTGCAACAAGATAATCCGTACTAAATAAGTGGATATGCAAGTGGTCAGCATGTAGATTTATTGCATTATTTCCATCACAATACAAATCATTTCTTTTCAGAAGTAACTCCTAATTAATTCTACAGGCTTACGCCCAGATAAGTAAGCTTACAATTGCAGCTTTATTTTTTTATTTTTACAAAACATGCCTTCCTCAATAGAGCCCAGGGTGATGCACAAAAGAAGACAAACAACAAAATAAATCAACAATTAAAACTCATCAAAAACTAAAAAAAAAAAAACCTTCAACAACTCATTAAAATACAGCAGGGGTTTGCCAAACAATATCAGGGGTTATAGCATCTCCCTAGCAGAGATCAAGATATGATTATCAAGCCTTTATTTTACTATCCTACTAAGGTGGGTTCTCATATAACTTTGCACAAAATACACAGCACATACACTGCTGGTTGTAAAAAACTCTGCTTCCCTTAAGTTTAGAACAATGTCTTAAACCATGGCTTTTTGTACACCCTTTTCAATTGACATACTTTGCATGTGTCTTGTATTCCAGTACAAAATTTAGCGGGAGAAGATACCCCTAGGCTGCAATCCTCTGGAAATTAGTCTCAACGGGACTTTACTTTTAAGTAGACATGGTTAGGATTGCACTGTAAGACAGCTACATATCCCTTTAGGAAATCTGCAGAAGTGGTTAAGAATTTGGTTTCATTAAAGTAGCGTTACAACATTTTCAATTTTAGCCATATAAGCAACTTACATGTATATTGTGGGCATGGACAGACTGGTCACTGGAACCACTGAAGACCAGATCATTCACAACCTTTGAAGAGACAACCAGACAGACAGATTATCCACAACAGATAATGGCTTTCTTTCACCCACTCTCTCTTTCACAATTAAGGGCTACTGTGACAATCCAATTCAATATGTCACATTGAAAAATGCATTAGAAAGGCTGACAGAGGACCAGTTGGGGGTGAGTTGAATTGGGTTCAAATCCCAAATCAGCCAAGGATTCAGTGGGGAGCCTTTTGACAAATTACTGCATTTCCGTTTCAGCTCCTTATCAGGGTTATCTATCTATCTATCTATCTATCTATCTATATTATTTAACCTTGTGGTATTTTTTTGTTATGATTTGCTTTTTACTTTACAAAGTTGTTATTGTACTTCACCAGATCTTAACCTATTACAGTATTTGTAAGAATGGATTCCAAATATCACTGAATTTGTCCATGGCAAATCTGTGTTTATATGCAAGTTGTTCATATGTCACAAGTTTGTAGAAGTCTTCAATCCAATCGTAGAAGGGAGCTGCATTTTTATTTTTCCAATTCATCAGTATCAGTCTTTTTGCTGCGGTAAGGGCACAAAGAGTCTACTTATATTGCCCTTTTGTAAGGTTCCACATGCTGGGTATATAATTCAAAAGGATATCTTGCCCTGTAAATGTAATGTTGTTCTGTACAGTTCTGTTGATAATTTCAGTTAACGTGTGACAAAAATCTTTCATTACAGGACAATGAAAAAACATACCGTATTTTTCGCTCTATAAGACGCACCAGACCACAAGACGCACCTAGTTTTTGGAGGAGGAAAACAAGAAAAAAAATATTCTGAATCTCAGAAGCCAGAACAGCAAGAGGGATCGCTGTGCAGTGAAAGCAGCAATCCTTCTTGCTGTTCTGGCTTCTGGGATAGCTGCGCAGCCTGCATTCACTCCATAAGACGCACACACATTTCCCCTTACTTTTTAGGAGGGAAAAAGTGAGTCTTATAGAGCAAAAAATACGGTATGTTTTAGAGAAGCATTATCCCTACTGCATCTCCAACAGTTAGATACCTCAGATAGCTCTTTTTTAAACAAACGTAATGGCGTCCAGTATATTCTAAATATTACTCTTTGTTGCATCATTATTTATAACTAAAAGCAATTATCAACAACTTTCAAAGGCTGCCACGAAAAAGGAGAGCATAATATTCACTCTGACACTCAGAGATGGTCACTATCATCACCACTTTATACAGCACAATCAAACAACAGAAGGCCAGCAAGGTAAATGGTGCAAGTCAAGGCTGAAGGAAACTGTGGCGTTTTCACATAGCAGGCAAAGAGGAAGGACTGTATTTTTGCAATGTTGTACCGGACAGCTACACAGCATGGCAAGAGACTGAATATGATGGCCAAATGAAGTAGCCTACCCCAAGGCTTTGTGCCTGAGCAAAAGGGTGGATGGTGATGTTTGTCAATGGACACTGAGCTTATCCAAGGTGAGGAAGGCTTAGAAGGAAAGGTGAGGGGTATTGGGGGATGGCAAACTTGCATCTATGCAGAAATATTGGATAGTCTGTTGTGGATTATGGAGTATAGAGGTAGAACTGGGTTTCAGCACCTTACCAGTGATACCAAAAACAGTGGAATTTGATGAAATCACCCAAGGACAATGGAGAGACACACACACAGAGAGAGAGAGATGTGGAGACATGAAAAAAGATTCCCGAGACATCCCAACTGAGATGGAGCAGGTTGAGCAAAGCAAGAGCTCTCTGGAAATGTTGAATGAGTGATGGCAATCATGAGAGGCCCATATCTCAGTGGTAAATCACATGCTATATTCCTAATTATAAACAACTGGAAGGTAGGGAGGTTCTTCTACAAGCTTTGAACTGCTGCCAAGAAGCAGAGAACTTGCAAGAGAAGTCTGCCCACACAGAGTGTTCCTTACAAGTTACTTGCCTTCATACAGAGCACCGTTTTGCTATGACCTTCAAGGGTTCGAAGCAACAAACCATTCCGGGCATCTCGCACACTGATTGTACAATCGTAGGATCCCACAATCAGCAACCTCCGTGCTCCTTCCTGAGCTGTGGCAAGACAACTGATTGCCCTAGGAGCATGGCACTCAAAGTTATCAAGCAGTTTGTTATTCTGGAAAAGAAAGCACACACCACACATACACACACAGTAGGAACACAGTCAATGTTTCCTTACTAATCCAACTACATACTAAGACAGAACTATCCAGAGAACACACTGGAAATGCCATACCTCCTCAAATTTCCTTTAAAAAAAAGAAAAAGATTAAGGATAGTGGTTTTGCTCTGAAGTCTCTGATGCCTTATTTGCTTTGAATTCTCTGTATGCTTTTATGGGGTGGATTTAGCTAAGAAACAGAATTTTCTTAGCTGTCAGTCCTACCCACTGACCTTGGAGTATGTCCCACAGAACTTAATGTGACTGAATTCTAGGTACAGGACTGGACTGTCAGAGAATCTATGGACTCTTTCCACAGCTTGTTTTGCATGTATGCTTGGTTTCTGCTTTACTTTTGCAGCCACAGAAGTCAAGTTGCAACAAGTTGTACTCAAAACCCTAGTTGCCCTATTCAGCTTACCACGAGTACTGTTTCTTAATTATGTTGCTAAGGCTGCTTATATAATTATTTTTAAATGTTTCAGAATAAAATGCTTCTCTGTAAAATGACTTTCAGAAATCAGTTTCAGAAATATGGTGCAAGGAAAATATATGAAGCCAGTGAAATTTACACACAGGCCAGATCTTAAGGACTGGTTTTCTTCGAAGCCAAACAATGCCATGGTTTAGTGCTAAATGAATGAACTTAGCCACTTCCTGGGCTTGTGACACCTCCACCCACCCCTGGCCAAAGAGAAGGAGTTCAGAAGCTTTTGCATTCCCTTAGCCATTTTTTTCTGTTACCTAAACAAGGGATAATACTTTAACACCAATATGAAATTAGCCATAGTTAGTGCATATGCACAATACCCAGTACCCAGTTCAGATTAAATGACAAACTGAAGGTAAGCATATGGAAAAGCAAAAGCTTTTGGCAGTTCTCCAAAAGTCCACAGGAGGAGGATGTTCACATGAGCCTGGGAGGCTAGGCTCATTCATGTAGCACTAGACCAGGGATAGCGGACTTGATGCTCTCCAAATGATGTTGGGACTCCAGCTCCCATTAGCGCCAGCTAGCATGGCCCATGGTCAGGGATGATGGTAGCTGTAGTCCAGGAACCTCTGGAGAGCATCATGATGGCTATACCTGTGCTAGATCATGGTCCAGCATTGTGAACCAGTGTGGTGTAGTGGTTAGAGTGTTGGACTATGACCCGGGAGACAAGGGTTCAAATCCGTACTCAACTATGAAGTTCACTGGATGACCTTGAGACAGCCAGTTTCTCAGGCTAACCTACTTCACAGGGATGTCATGAAGATAAAATGGAGAAAAGGGAGAACTATGAGCTCCTTGGAGGTAAGGGAGAATATAAATGTAAATAATAATAATGATGATGATGATAATAATAATAATAGCACTGTATCCAAATGCTACAAATATGACTATTACCAAAATATTACCATAAAATAAAATTTCTAGTTTTGCATATACAAAAGAACGTGGTAAATGTTTGTCCTGACATACGTGTGCATTTGTGCTGAGGGAAAACCACCAAAGCTAATTGCACCCGAGAGCAGGTACAGATTACACACATTCTGAAATACCTTCCACTTCCGTGTAGTATATTTCAATTAGAGTATGAAGTGGAGAATCACAGAAGATACTATCAGCTCCTTCTATGACTGCAAGATTCAGCTTAAGGAACCCCTGAAATCTTTGCAAAGTCCCCAAATCTAGCACTGCTCATGTGACTGGACAGCAGTGCGAGCAGCTATTTATGAGTGCAAATAACTCAACATCGGCGCAGGTTCTAATGGAATATACCCCTCTCGTACCGACCTTTATATTGAAAGTGGCCACGCTGCCATTAGCAAGTCCGGCATAAAGAATTCTCCATCTACTGTGCAGACAGAGTATACGATCATCCAATTTAATTTGATCCACAAGTTCCCTAGTCTGGTAGGAGGAAAACAACTGTTAGTATACAACTGATATTTTCACCATCATCTTTCAATAAGTGAACCTAAAGAAGAAACTGAGAAACTAGCTTTATTTACAAATCATTTTAGTTATGAGAGGCTCTTCCAGTTTGGAAGCAAGGAAACAAGCCTTTGGCTCGTATGACACAAGGCTACAGGCCCTCACTCCAAACGGCCCTCTGGTAATCAGTGGATGAAGTAAAAACCTAAAATGTGGACTTAATTGCACAAAGATTCCCTTTTTATGTGGAATTCTATATAATCTGGTTCACTAAAACATGCACATTTCAGTCTTCTTTTAAGTTGTCGTCACATCTGTAACCCCCTCCTAAGATATAATTGGCTTGAGTGAACACTTACTTTGATGTTGTAACAATTTATATTGTGGTCACTGGAGCCCGAATAGAGCACTGCATTCTTTCCTGTTGTCTGAGTCACCAGGATGCAGTTCACTTTTGAGGTGTGCCCTTCAAAGACACCAACACACTTCCTGCTCTGTGAGAGGCAGAGAGTTACAAGCTTTAATTACTCAAATCATCATCATTATCATCATTTTATTTGTATGCCGCCTTTCCACAGTTGAAACTATGCTCAAGGCGGCTGACAACATGACAAGAATTACATAATTACAAACATAACAGAAGTCATAAACAATAAATAAAGCACATCAAAAAGCACACAACCTAATGGAAACCATTTCCACATAAATCATAAGGTCTAAAACTAAAGATACAACAATAATATCAGTAACAGCAAGAAGCTCTCTCAACTCCCCGTAAACAATACTCCAGCCCAAGAATCTGTTCAACAGCCTCAGCTTTTGTAGCTGGAGTCAGTCAGCACTCCACTCTCCCGGCCCAGATGGGAAAGGGCCAGCAAGGCAGGGTGCAGGTCTTCCAGGGCTCACAGCCAAGATGGTCTCATTTAAAACAGCACAGATAACAATTTTTATTTTTTAAAATATTTTATTAAGGATTTTCTTGTTTTACAGAAGTGTAGTGCCTCATATTTTTTTCTTTCCATGTAACATTTTTACAAATCCATTTCATTTGTTGAGGCATTAGGGGGAGAAGAAAAAAAGAAAAAAAGAAAGGGGGGTGGAGAGAGGGAAGATGGATGGGGGTGGGGTCGGGTGGCGGTGTTTCTATTATGTTTAATGTATGTAGAGTTTGGTGTCAGCGTTGCTTGTGTTGTTCACTTGTGTTCCTTTGGTGGTGAGAGAGGTTGGGGTTGGCCTAGGGTGTGATTGTTTGCTTGTGATTGGCTGTGGTGATCTTTGTTTTTGTGTGTGAGTGAGGTGGGTGGGTGTTTTGGATCAGGTTAGCCATATTGATTTGTATGCTGTTGGTGGATTATTGTCATTGTCCTGTTGGGCTGTGTATGTGATAAAGGGGAGCCTTAAAAACAATTTAAAAGAGGAGCCCTCTCTGCTGAGCAGCAGCCACAGTGTGAAGCCTGTGAAGCCCTGCCCCACGCCAGGTGGAAGGAGGCAAGGGGTGGGGCCCTAAGATAGCAAACTAAGGTACCACCCAACCACAGTGGCTTCCAAACCAATCACCTATTTCCTGCTAATGTGCATTTAGACTCATGAAAAGACAGCCGTGCACACAGACCTCCAAGTTGAACTTCCCTGGTTTGTATTCTCAAAAACGCAGGTATTTGTAACATGCAGCCATTCAAGCACAAGCCTGTTAACTGCGTAGCTTATCAGAGGCTGGTCCGAGAGATACACATCTCAGACTGCTTTTTATTCTTGCACTTTATGAAAGATGAATGTCATTGCTTCAGCCATCTCCCTATCTCCATATTAAGGAAGTTAACATGGAAAACGAAATTCAGTGTTCAGCCCTTTTGTCAGGCTCAACTTACTGACCTAGTGGACTAACCCCATGAAGCTGCTGTTTGCTGCAACAGATCATTGGTCCATCCAGCTCAATACTGTCTGCAATGACTGACAGCAGCCCTCCAGAATTTCAGACAGGACATTCCCTTCTAAATGCTCTGTCACTATGTTACTTATAGGAAGAAGAGTCCATATATTTTGTTGCACCACATTAACAGTTTTGGATCTTAACTCACTGGCAAAAATTCCCTTTCCCAAGGAGGAAGCTAGGTATCACAAAATTTGCTAAAAGGAAATGTTGGGACACAGGTAGCGCTGTGGGTTAAACCACAGAGCCTAGGACTTGCTGATCAGAAGGTCAGTGGTTCGAATCTCCATAACGGGGTGAGCTCCCATTGCTCGGTCCCTGCTCCTGCCAACCTAGCAGTTCGAAAGCATGTCAAAGTACAAGTAGATAAATAGGTACCGCTCCAGCGGGAAGGTAAACGGCATTTCTGTGCGCTGCTCTGGTTCTCCAGAAGCGGCTTAGTCATGCTGGCCACATGACCCGGAAGCTGTACGCCGGCTCCCTCGGCCAATAAAGCGAGATGAGTGCCGCAACCCCAGAGTCGGTTACGAATGGACCTAATGGTCAGGGGTCCCTTTACCTTTTACTATTCATTGCTAAAACACACTTCTCACAGACTCCTTCCCCCATCTCAAATCTTGATGCCATTTTGCTCTGCTTTAGTTGTATTTATCCGATCTGAGCTATGCTCATTTCTCAATAGTTTGAGTGGCTGACTGTTGCTTCAATAGAACTTATGGGGTGGGGGGAAGCGACTGCAAACTCAGAAGGCAGCGAGACATTCCACAGCCAGCCTCTTATACAGTCTACTTACCACCAAGTTATATGCGTGGATGGTTTTGTCTGCTGAGCAGGTGTACAACAAATTCCCAAAAATCTGAATCGCATTCACTGAAGCTGAATGACCCTCAAAGGCCCCTTCCGTAGGTTCTTCCTCTTCGCCTGGCTCTGAGGAGACTTCTGTCAAATGCAATTGTCAAAGCCTTCCGTTAACTAAACATACTGCTCATGACACCATGGTAAAAGAAAACTGAAAGAGGAAAGAAAGAAAACATCCACTCAAAACTACCAGGTGCTGAACCAATGAACGGTATCTGACTATAGCAAAACCAACCAACCAACCAAACAGCAATAGAATAATAATAAACCCCAATAAACCCAACATATTGTAATGGTCAAAAGCTCCTTGACTGAAGGAATAAGAAAAGGAGTCAAGGTGTAAGCTAGGGTGGGTGAGGAAATCACAATATGAAATGAGCTACCTCATAAGTATATCTAAACAAGTCTTTGGCTTAAGAACACATTAGGAATAAGCTGAGCTTGACTCTTGGCAAGATGGAGGCACTGTGGTGAACAGTTCCTGTTTCTGAGAAACTGATTAAACAAGCATGTTTTTAGCAGGCACCAGAAAGTATACAGTGGAGGTGCCTGCTTGACTACAGCTCCCATTTTCTGCAACCACTGGCCATACTGACTGAAGCAGAGTATTAGTATTTGTTGTTGTGTGCTTTTAAGCAAGCTTTCTGGGTTTGGAGTCATGTTTGGGAACACAGATGATGCTATAGCACTCCATATTGCAAAGAGCTGCTCAACTCTCTCCCACCTCCCCACAAAGCCCATGTGCTTATTTTTCCATTAGAAAATATATATATACCTGATGAGTTTTTTGATCCTCTTATTGAAGATATGGACGTTTGAGTCTCAGCCACACTACAGAAGATAGAGAATGCCACGGCTATTACAGAATGCTAACACAAAGGACTTTAATTTAAAATGCTTGGCTACAAGGCCTTGTATGGAAAATGTGTATAGGGAAAAGAAACATAGCTATCACCAGGACAATGAAGCAGCAGTCACAAAGCACTCTGTGACACTAAGTTTCCATTCTCCAATAATTATTTTTCAATTATTTAAATGTACTTCGGTATGGAAAATTTCCTGCAATCTCTTTTATGGTATTTATAAAACACTTCTCTGTCCAAAGGTTCCTGAGGCAATAAACAAACTCAAAATAGAGAGACTATAACATCACTAAGAGTACATCATAAACAGATTTTTTAAAAACACAGTAGCTCATGGATACACAATCAATGTACACACAGAGAGTTGTGTCCAACAAAGTCACCGTGTTCGTGCAAGGAATTCTGCTTGTACTATGGAACTTCCCATTGCTTCTTCTCCTCTCCCCCCCCCCTTGCCTCTAGAGGGTTGTAGAGGCCCTCAGAACAAATTCAGGGGCATGGGGTGAGGGAGAAGAAGTTCTGTTGCATAAGTGTAAGTCCTTGCACAAATGGGACGACTTCCCTGGATATAACACCTGTTTTCCAGCTTACCTTCTGCCAATGCCATCCTTGTAGTTTGTTCCAATCTCACTGGTAGAGCTCACTTCATCGTAGCCAGACCGAGACGCCTCTCTCAGAAGCTGCTCTGAGGAACTCAGCGCATCCCTCTTAGAAGGGCTGTCTGGTTTTTCATCCCCCGATTCTGATGAACTGATGGCAACCACTTCCAGAGGAGATTTGGGGACTTCCACAAATTCCAGAGACGTGTCACTCTCATTCTCGTCTTTCTTCCGCTTTCCTTCCTGAGCAGCCTCTGCATCCTCTTGCTTTGGAGGGGTGGATGTTGTAACTTTGCCCCCTCTGGTCCCCTTTACCATCTTGACTTTCCTTAAAGGCTTCATGTCACTTACATCCTGCTCTGTATCGCTGTTCTCAGGGACATGGGCTGCTCGCAGTGCTTTCTTCTTCTTCAACTTCTTCTTTTTCTTGCTCATTTTGCTCTCAACGGAGACCAGTGCAGAAACCGCCATCTGCTCCGTTGCCTGTCTGGGATCTTCATCCGCAGGCAGTTCAGGGGGAAAGGTTGGGCTCTGAAAGGAGCTACTGCACTGTTCTACAACTGTGTTGTCTGGTGGGATTTTGTTTTCTTCTGCCTTCTCTGCCAAGAGCGATGGTGAATAGCTGGGGGAAGACCTGGCCCTTCCCTTATCTGGAACAGGTTTCTGCATATCTTGATTAGACTCTTGGAAATCAATAAGTGCAGACAAAGACATGGTAGCAGAGATAACTGGGTACAGCAAAGGTTGTTGGCTCGTATTCCCTGAAGAAGATAAAATAGCCCTTTTCACTTTGACATGGCCAATTAGGCATTTGTGAATCCCAGCCTTAGTCATATGTGGCTTTAAGTGGTAACTTACAGAGCATCCCAGATGTACAAACTATTAATCAACATGGTCGCCTCCATATAAACACCTTGATAGCTCGTGTAATTTAGCGTCAAACACTGGATTGCAACCAGAAAGACTTTGGGTTCCAACCTCTTTCCATGAGAACTTGCAAGGTCTTGCTCTCTAACCTACACCAGGGATGAGGAACCTGCAGCCTCCCAGATGCTGTTGACCATCATCCCTGATCATTGGTCATGTGAGAGTGCCACAATTCCCCATCCCTGAATTGTTTTGTTCCAAGGATGCAAGTAAGAAGCATACTTTGGAGATGAGAAGCCAATAGTCCTCTTGACAGACCACATGCTCAGAGTTTTGTGCACAACTGGCATGTCTCTGGGCTGACTGGGAAACTCTGGGGCACACACATAGATAATAATAAATACTACTATGAGTGGGCATTGGTTTTGTTTGTTACTATGTTAGGTATTTTGTGTTTTTCCATTGCAAACTGCCCTGTGATCCTTGGATGGAGGGCGGTATAGAAATTAAACAAACGAACAAACAATATTAATAGACAAAATTATCACCTGCAGAAGACAACATACCATTCTGAAACAGAGCCTCTCCCTGTGAAGAACATGGAAACCTCTGTTCAGGAATATTCATGCTCTCCTCTCTAGGCTTTGGAGATGCAGGTTCTTGCTTGATTTGAACAGATGAATCTGGGATTGTGATGGCTCCAATGCCACCAGTGGTTTGGAATGTAGGTGGGGTGCTTGCAAGGACAGGAGCTGCCAAAGGAACTGCAGGTATCTGGGCAGAGAGAGGTGAAGCAGATTCCAAAAGAGGAACAAGACCACCTGGATTAGCAATTAGATCCTGTGTTGGCTGAAGTTTGTTGTTTCTTTTTTCATTTGAGCCACTGGGTTGAAGTTGCTGCAGCTGTTCAGAAGGTTCATAGGTTTCTAAGGAGACAACATGGATGCATTTCACATTAAAATCTCTTAAGCAAACAAGGCTTATGAGGGACAAGCTCTGCCCTGAATTTCCCCAAATCCAAGTTCACATATAACAGTAATCCAGGTTTCATTTTAACCATGGTCTGCTCAACAAGCCACAAACAGTCCTATAGATAAACAAAAAAACCCCTATGGCTCATTTCTTCAAAGCTTGGTTTGTTTTCCCACTGCTCTTGTCTTTGTAACTCGGTGAGCATATAGGATAAGGTGGCCCAATGAACTATGGTTAAGCATGACTGCTGAGTTCAGGCATAATGCCAAACCATAGGTGAAACAAGTCATGGTTTGTAATCCAACAATAAACAATGGCTTCACACAGTGGGCTGTTGACAGAAAAAATAGGGGCTGCTCTCCTAACCTCTTCATCCACTCTTGTGTTAACTGATACTCTATGATCAGTGAGCTGCCTCTTATTCCACTATCTATTTTCCTTCACTGTCAGTACCTCAGAGATTTCAAAGCACTCAGGGACCTTACATACCCGTGTCTTGAGTAAATGCTACAGCAGGGACCTGAGGATCTCCAGAGGATGACTACAACTTTCATCATCCCTGACCATTGATCACACTGGCTGAGACTGATGGGATGTGTAGTCCAACAACATCTGCAGATCCACCCCTGCATTACAACATTCACCAAATCCTCTTTTCCTTTGTTTTTCCTTTAACTACTATTTGGAGAGACTCATTATGGCGGAGTTTTAGAGTCTTGAATAATTCAAGGAACCAAACTACAAGAGAAAATACGTTCTTACTATAGACACTTGGGACAGTTTCTGCTGCTATATTCCATGGACCCAGCTGCTCACAAGCCTCTCTGCCTGAACTGCCAAGAGGTGGTCTCAGATTATCATCATGGTTCTGCATTACTACTGGGCACCTGAGTAACTTTAATAAAAATGGACTCCCAAAGCAATGCAAGGTACCTTGCAATCCCTGCAGGATCTGAATTCTTTGGCTTCTCAAAGTGCCCATTTCCACCGATATCTAGGAGACAAGAGAGATTCAGTCAGGTCTATCAGAAGACATCCTTCTGAAATCTTCAGAGTTACAGCTGATGGCCTTCGAAACGTCAAAGTACCTGCTGTTTCAGTACAAGCAGTCGCTGGACTTCAATATAAGCTGCCTGCAGAGCAGCTCGAGCTGGCACAAGGCTCCCATCCACACAGTGCAAGGACTTACTCAATTCTTCTTCCCTCAGAGAAATAGACAACAACTGGTCTACCTGCGAACGCTCTGCAAGAGAAAGTAAGTTTCAAGATATGATACAGCCTGCTGCCACTTTTAGGACATTCAGAAGGTATTTGGCAAATGTCAGCTTTCTGAGACGCAGTTCATTAGAGTAAGTTGCCACGTTGCTTCCTAGTGAAAGGAGATTGGAAGAGATGAGGTATCAAGCACAGTATTAAATTTGTACTTCTGTTTGATGAGCTTGGCATAGGTAAAGGTAAAGGTACCCCTGCCCGTACGGGCCAGTCTTGACAGACTCTAGGGTTGTGCGCTCATCTCACTCTAGAGGCCGGGAGCCAGCGCTGTCCGCAGACACTTCCGGGTCACGTGGCCAGCGTGACAAGCTGCATCTGGCGAGCCAGCGCAGCACACGGAACGCCGTTTACCTTCCCGCTAGTAAGCGGTCCCTATTTATCTACTTGCACCCGAGGGTGCTTTCGAACTGCTAGGTTGGCAGGCGCTGGGACCGAGTAACGGGAGCGCACCCCGCCGCAGGGATTCGAACCGCCGACCATGCGATCGGCAAGTCCTAGGCGCTGAGGTTTTACCCACAGCGCCACCCGCGTCCCTATGAGCTTGGCATAGTCCACAAGTAATGGTCAGTCTTCCTTTATCAACCCAAGGAAGGCACCACTCATGGGAAACCTATGCAACAGAGTTTGGCTTCAAGGGAGGAGAACAAAAATAATCAGAATTTGTTTGGTGGGCCTCCTAAAACATTTGTTTTATTTTACTTTACAATGTTTTTATTAATTTTAACTGTAACAAACATCACATATAGATAAACATTAATAAGAAAAAGTTTTAAAAAGAAAGTAATAAAAACTTCATAATGCTGTTTATACATTCAATAAAATATCCAAAAGTGGGATTTCTCCAGTCTCCTGACTTTCCTCTACCCCCTCCCATGGTTCCATTACTGCATGATTACTTTATGCATGTCCAAGTTATATTGTCCATCTAATTATATCTAATTCTTTCTTTTATCATAATAATGCATATGTTTCTTAGAATCCTGCTGATGTATCAACTTGTATTACAATGCTTTGATATACATATAATAGAAACTTCCCATTCATTTTTAAATTTGTTATTATCCTGATTTCTGAGTTTCTCTGTTAATTTAGCCAGTTCCACATATTCCATTAACTTAATTTGCAAATCTTTTTTTGTGGGCATCCTTTCCTATTTCTAGCATTGGGCTATCAATACTCATGCAGCTGTCATCGCATACATAATGAGATTTTATTATTATTATTATTTGGTATCTCCTTTCCTATAATTCCTAACAAAAAGGCTTCATGCTTTTAAACAAAAGTTATTTTAAATAGTTTTTTCAATTCATTATGTATCATTTCCCAAAAGTTTTTTATTACTTTTCATTGCCACCGCATATGATAAAACATACGTTCTACTTCTTTACATTTCTAGCATTTTTTCCCTCTTGATTTGTACATTTGTGCTAATTTAACTGGTGTTAAATACCACCTAGACATCATTTTCATTTAATTTTCTTTTATCAATGTACAAGCTGTAAATTTCAAATCATTTTTCCAAAAATTTTCCCATTCTGACATTTGGATGTTATCTCCCACATCCTTTGCCCACTTTATCATTACACATTTGACTGGCCTCCTCAAACATATAGACTGGGGAAAAATAATGCAGTGCCTACTAATTTATCACTGTGACCCACCTTTTTTGCCTTTAATCTTTCTTCTTTTATTCTTTCTTTCTAGGCTTGGAATTTCAGGAGAGGATCCCTCCTGCAAATTAAATATATATTTTTGTTAGCTAAACTAGCACATAACACAATTTTGTAGATATTCCAAGACACAAATTGTGTACCAAGCCTATTTGAGGCAGAAGTGTTTGAACACACAGGAGACATCATTGGTTGGATTCAACCTATAAGTTGGACTTTGGCTCCAGTGAAATCAAAGGGACAAGTTAAGACACAATTTAAGTTAGGCCCCGCAGAACCTAAAGCGAAATAAACATGCAGTATATTCTTGCATTGCAAGGGGTTGGACTAGATGACCCTTGGGGTCCCTTTCAACTCCGTAAGATTCTATGATTCTATGCATTTCCATTGAGGTGTCAATTTTGTTTTTGAATAGTAACTGAATTCCTCAGTCCTCTTGATCATACATCCACTTAACAGGCATTAAGTGAACATATTCTAGCCTGGCATAATTGCTCAAGGAAGGTGTGAAGCCAATGAGGGGTGTGGCCTTGGGAGAGTTCTAGGGGCCAGATGAAGGCCGCATATGGCCCCTCAGTTTCTCATTTCTGCTATGGACCAAAGAAGCTGCCATGACCAATTGTAATCGGCGGAATCTAACAATGTAGTTCAGCTAGTGCAAGGGTTACGATTTGCATAATGAAACTTCACATGCCATCCCCAAATCTGCTCTCGAGGGTTCAGAAAATATTTAGGGGACATACAAGGAAGAGGAGAGGGAGGGGAAGTTCTGTGGTGCTAGTGGAAGTCCTTGGTGCTAGTGGAAATAAGGCATTTGATATAAGAGAGGATGTGTCCGGGTATTCTTACACCCATGGCCGTTTTCAGATTCTGTCACAAGGTTTTAAATGCACAATGGATTCCATGAGTATTTGGACCACTTACTCCGGTCGCTCTTCTTTTTTTGCCAATTCCCTGGCTGTCATTCTGCTCGTTGCCCGATGTGTAGCTGCTGTCTGTAGCGGCATCTAGAGTGCTGAATGCTGCGAGGGCTGAAGCCATACAGAACCTTTCCCCTGGACTCTCCAGCATGTCTTGAGTTTCAAAGGCCTGGGCCCTGTAGTCAGGGCTTCTTGGGCTTTGTCCTGCACTAAACGCTGTGAGTCTGTTAACATTAGGGGGAGACTGTAGGCTGAGCCTCCTTCCCCTGGAATCAGTCCTGTCAGACATGTACGGTGAGGAAGGAAGGGAAGAAGACTCTTGTTTCACACCAGCCACAGCAACTGCAAGCATCTGGGAGCCGTATGTTACATCCTCAGTGTTGGCAACCGAGCTCATTTGTTCATTTTCTTTGCTTGGGCCTTGACTGCTGAAAAAACTATAAACGGAGGTGGTCTTATCTACAGCCACACTGCTTTCGGAGAGACTACGTTTCCTAACAGTCCCAGGGGAGCCTAGGGATATCCCTTCCCAGTGGAAACCTTCAAGGCTGGTCAGGTCACCTTCTTCATCCAACTCAAGTTCCTCTTGTTCATTCTGGATGAGAGGAACCATCTCAATGCCAAACCTTAAAAAACAATAGTGATCGTGAAACACTCAGTAGTGAAAACTCTACCAAAAATAAAGGCTAACACAGAACTGTTAAAAATTAAGTTTCATGTATGGCTAGCTCTGCAATAGCAATGATGCTGTGTTATTGCCCAAAGATTTGAAATTCACAGTTGTCTTACCTTTTTGGTTACTGAGTTCCTGAAGATCCACCTCTCAGGACAGCTCTTCAGGAAATCACAACCCAAAATAACACTTTCAAATAGCAAGCAGCAACATAACAACAGGTCAATGATATTTTCTCCAACACAGAAGGAAACTAGGAGGATACTGCAAAAGCAGTTTACCTCTGGCAAACGTAATTGTGATGGCAAAATTACATTGACTGCCTACATTAAACCAGTGGATCACCTTTCACTGAGAAGGGTGGAAGTGGAAGAGATTTGGTTATTGTTCCACTGAAAATTTTAATTAAAAAAATACATAGTTACAATACAAACTAACTAACATATCTGCAGCAGCTGCAGTTCCTCTTTAAAAGATGGAAATCTAGAACAACTGTAGCAAATCTGACTCACTGGGCTGAGAACGCTGCAGCTGTGCCTTGATCAGCTGGTTTAAAGGCAAAGATTGTATATGTGAACCAAGATTTCGTGGCAGTTAACAGAAGGCAAACGGTGAGCTAGGCAGGGAGGAACCTATACTGTGGGAAATCTTGCATATAAATGTAAATAAAAATGTGAAACTGTTTCTTATTCTTACATCCCTTTTCCTAACCACATAATACCCCTTTAAAGCAAACTGTTAAGTCCCTAATGCATCTTCTCAACCAAGAAACGTACAGGTTTTTTTATTTGGTAAATGCAAAGTTTTGCACCGAAGGGTGGCCTATACATTTGCTAAATGCATAGATCTTTGATTACAATACAGTTTCAAATCTGATTAAGACCACAAACCTGGGTAAACCTTTGCCAAGTTCTTGCTTCTTCTTTGTCACCTGCTGAATTACCTGCTCCCAGTTGACATTTCTTCGAGACACGCTAATAATCTGCCGCAAAGTAGGCTTGAGCCCTGATTCTTTCTCAGCTTCGCTCTTCCGGTGGCCACTGACATTGCGAATGCGCCTTGCACTGTTCAGGTTGGGCTCAGGTAGATGTGAGCCAGTTTTGCTCTTCAAGTTGGTGCGCCACGTTAGGTCTCTTTGGAGAGAAGCTGGAAAGCCAAGTTTACTCAGTTCGGGAAGAAGAGGGCCAGAGGGCTGCCCTCCTGCATCTTTCTGCAGCTCGTGATTAGAATCAACTGCATAGCTTTCCTCTTCTGGAGCATCATTTGATTTAGTCGTGCTTCCGTCACCATCCTCTTCCAGGGATGCTTTCAAGTCTGTTTCTAGGTCATCTTGAAAGTTGGATAGAGATAGAGAGCCCATTTGGAATTTGGTATATTTGTTACCAGTATTCTTCAACTCTAATAGATAGCCACCTTTTTTAGTTGCCGTATGGTCCGGTTCAGCAAGATCACAAGTTGAGAAAGCATTAGAGTGAGTACTTTTGGTTCCTGTTCCATCTCCAGAGTTCTCATCCTCCAGTCCATCTTTCTGGGGCTCATGCATCTTCAGAGACAATGCTGGACCTTCAGTACTCCATTTGTCATTCCCATCAGTCTGAGTATCTCTACAAGGTATCAAGCAAGAGTTTTTGAAAGACTGGCTATACTCAAGTTCTTCTTTGGCATTTTTTAATGCTTCGTCTAGATTTTCATTGCTGCTACGCACATGTGTGGTGCCTTTTAAACTGTTATTGCCATTACATTCATTACTCAGCTTGGATCCAAAGGAGGAGGAATTGTTAGCATCTAAATTTAGTGCATTTAGTTGGCTCTGGCTTTCTCCGGATGATGAGGATAACAAAAGCTGGACATGTTTCAAGAGATTCTTTGGGCTTCTTTTTTGAGAAGATGGCTTTATATCGGGAATAGCCAGAAGTGGGGACTTCAAAGATGGCATCCTGTTACCTTTGCCTTCAGCTTGGTCTGATTTTTTCTCACTAGTTACGTCTACTGCCTTCTTACATGGTACAAGTTTGTTGGATGCCATTTTGTAATTGGGGGACGCTGAATAAGTCTCTTCCCATTTTTTCAGTTTGGGGTTATTGGTTTTAGGATCTGTGCATTTTGGAGACGATGGAGAGCATGACAGATGACCAGAATCTGCTTTTTCCGGAGTTGTAGCTACGTTCTCATCACACAGTGGCTGCTGTTCTATCGTTTTTAGAGAGGGATATGGAGCCCAGCGATTTGTTTTTTCTCGGGAAGGGCTGTTGCTCTTTCCATTGACTTTGGAGGTCTTGCTCTCTGGTTGCTCAGAAACACCAAAGTTTAGTAACCCATCTGAAGGAAGCTGATCACTAGTGAAATCCAAAACACAATCCCTGTTGTCATTTTCATTAGCAAGGCCCATATAAGGCACCATAGAACTACTGTCTTGCCACTGCCATGCATATCTTTCTCTATTGTATTTATCCTGTGCACTTTTGCTTTTTAACCAGGAAGCATCCACACTATCTAACTGGGAACTATTGTTTGGAGCCCTGCTTTTTCCTAAATTCCACCCCCTTCCGTTTTGTCGACCAGGCTTCCAGTTTCCACCTGAATTTTTGGCTTGCCAGTAAGTAAATGTATTTTCTCCTTCGGAATTCCACTTGGAACTTCTTCCCCTGCCACCATGGTGCCATCCTGGTATTCCTCCTCTGGCATTCTGATGCCAAGCACCTCCATTATTCCCATAGTTATGATAGCGATTTGGAGACACTCCAGTATTATTCTGATGCCACCCAGGTCGTCCTCTTTGCTTGCTCAGATGCCTGTTTGCATTCTTAGGATTCCTTGCAGGGTGTGTGAATTGGCCTTGTCTGGGATTTAAGAAGCCGTCACCTTCCCAGTTCCACTCCCTCTGCGATGGTCCACAATGATATCTTGATGATGAATCGTAAGTGTCTCGGTCTTGATAAGTTCTTTCATCTTGTCTTCTTTGTAATCTCCTGTCACTGTTTTCTGTTTCATGGTTCACACGGCACACTTCACCTGCCCTATAAAGATAGAAGTATTTTAATCTGGAGACTAAATAACCTGTATTTTCACTCATTTGCAATAACAGTTAGTTTTCAAAAAAATTATTAGGCCTGATCTAAAATATCTCTTAACAATAGACCTGCATTTTGCCCCTGGTGTGCTGACCAAAGGCAAGCAGAGGCTGGAGATTTGTACTGCCGAGTGAGGTAAGCCTGAGATAGCCTTTCAATTAGTCAACCGGCAGAAATGTCATATACAAATCAGTCTCCACTGCTTCATCACATAAATACAGCATAATTATGTTACAGTCATTCATTAAATGAAACAAGGATTAATTGCACACTGTCAACATGACAATGGTGGCAGTCCTATCGGTCACTCCCCCAATCTCAGAGGATAGCTATGGAAGGCAGAAAGGATCTCTGGGAGAAAGGATGTTTCTGTGCTGTTGAAGAATGAAGAAGATATTTCTTCTCCCATTTGGGATTATTCATCAGGGAGAGAGATGCCATATACCACATCAGCTTCACCGTCCACCTACTACATGATAGTGAACTGAAAAGTATATTGGAAGGATATAATGTTTTAAAATATTGTCTAAAAATAAGTTAAGAAAAGTAACCAGTCCTCCTGAAGATGCAAATTCAACATCTGTGCTGTATGTAGACAGCTACCTTGCCTAGCTTCAGTGAAAGATGCTCTAGCTTCAGGAAAAAAGATTCAGTTTATATGCATTATATATAACGGGATTTTCTAAGACCACGTATTACAATGCTTGTGATTTGGCAATCTGCTGGCAGGTTGCCCAAAGGGCAGGATTTAAATTTGCCAGCAAAATACATTAAAAGGCTTATCACACATTCCAAGGAAAAATGCTTGCTTTTTCATAGCTAGCGCAATATTCCCAGCAACGTTAGGCCGAATTCCAGACCTTCATTATCCTGTAAAAAAATCAAGAGGGCTATTTTTCCTTTCTCCCTGTAGGCCACTGGAGACATAAGGATAGGAAAATTTCACACTATGGCATCCATCTTCACAACCCCTGATCACGGGTATGCTTCAGGTTTCAAGTTCCAGATCCCTTTTTAACTCTGACAAGACTCAAATGCTCTAGTAGTTCCATAAATGGACTTCAATTATTATTGAATCTGTAGATCATTGCAACTTACAAGGAGAAAAGAAAGTCACGAGGACTGATAGATTTCCACCCACCCCCCATCACCTCTGCTCATGCTAGATCAAGAACGTGTGCTTAATACTTTCCTCCTCTGCCAAGTTCAATTCATTAGGAAGTTTCAAACATCCCCTACAAAGAATCCAAACAGAGGAATAGGGGAAAAATTTAACTTCTGCCAGCTAGAGAAATGTTCACTATGTTGAATGTTATTAGAAGAAAGCTGATTGATGTGGCTCACTTACAACACAAAGAGTGTATCCTAAAGATAGATTTACTTGGATGCAAAGATTCTGCTGTGTGACTGGAATGGAATGGTTGAAACGGGATGGTGATGGTAGTTCACTGTTTTCTTCTCCACCACCAGCAACCCCCACCCTCAAAGTAAACCACGCTCCAGAGTTTTGACCACCCTCCAACACATACTGGGGAAGGCAGCAGGAGGTAGAGGAATTGGTAACCACTATTACACCCCATGGGATCAGAAGTGTCCACAGATCCACCCCATGGAAGGCAAGAAATGTGCAATAAAGCCAAAGTAGATTCACGTTATTTAAACCACATATAGCAAAATGTATCATGACACAAGCAATGAACACTACACAGCAGATTAAAACACGATTTGAAGTTATGCAGAAAAACCTAGAGTACAGAATTCTATCCATAAATTGGATAAAGGATTTCATTCAAGACCCAAATGCGTTTCTAGACAACAGAGAAGTAAAAATGGTTCCAGGTTCAGCTGACAGACAGAACAGTAAGGAACAAACCTATAAATAGCCTCGTTTCACAGCTCTATGGTCCCTATAATAGTTTTCACAATTAAATAATTTCTAATAAATACGAGCATGCATATTTAACTATGAAACATAATGCATTCTCATTACACTAGATGCAATTTAATTTTATATGGTCTAAAAAAGTAGGCTACAAATGATATAGGCTCAGTTAGCAAAAGGTTTTCCAGTTCTGCAGTACGCAGCATGAGCAAAAACTTACAACAGATAAGTTTGCAAGAAGAGGCCCCGTATATTGATTTAAAGCCAGGGAAACCAAGTTTAACGGTCCATCCCAGAGTTATCTACTCTGTTGGTCTACAAGTGGTCTTTGGGCAATGCTACAAAATTGCATACTAAAAATAGTAACTTATGCAGCTCTTACAACTTTCCCAGCCGCGGCCACGGACTATACTAAAGGCACAGTACACTCTTGGCATCATTTCCCTATATTCAAAGAGTGTTGAAGAACTCCACATCGCAACTGCTAAGAAAACGTGAACACACTCACCGGTTCTGCTCATTTCTTTGTTTAATTAGCTGGATGAGTTCCTTGTCAAAGTATTCTTCGTTAGTCTCTTCTTTCCCTTCTTCTCCATCGTGGGCTTCGATGTTGTCTTTGTGCAGCTGGCTGGAGATGTGCTTGGCATACGCCGACAAGCCCACCACTGTCACCCTGCACACCTGGCACTCATGATTGCTGTCCCTGGGGAAAGATGGAGAAGCTGGACATTCAATTTTTCCCACAGGCATGGCAAACGCTGCTGATCTTAACTCAGTTTCCTCTGAATCTGCAAGTGTCACATCAAACGTGCACAAGGTCTAGCAATCTGCATTGCAGCTTTTTGAAAACCCTGCAGGTTTAAAAGTTCTTCCTTTTGCGGTTGTAGTTAATTTCAATGATGTCTGGGTGGATTTCAGATTTCTTTCCAACAATCAAGAGGTAAAGGACTTGAGAATAATCAGAGTGTCAGCTGGGATTCTTCTTGGATTGTTGTACTCAAAACCTTGTCAGAGGAAACATAGCGGAGGAGGTGGCAGAGTGGAGGGCTTGCAGAGCTAGCAGAAGCTGCTCTGAAGCACCTCCATGGTGCCAGCTGCACTGGGGAAGCCCAGCGATAAGATTCTAGATTTAAGCTCTGTCTCAGCGCTCCCCCAATGAGCATCAGCAAGGAGGAGGGGAGATTGCACCTCTACAGCCAATCCTAACGCAGTGAAACCTAAACTGGGACAGCTGGCACAGTGGCCTGGAATCCAAAGACTTTACAGCACAGCAAAATGAAGGGAGGGAGTCGCCTGCTTGCTCTACTTTATTTGGTTCATTTATTTGGTTCATAAGATGCAAGCTAAATCCACTCTCTGCTCCGCAAGGATTATTGTGAAGATACAAAATTGTTTCAGTTGGAGGAAGCCAACAACTGTTTCAGACAAGTGTGTGAACTCTGGTTTCATCTAAGTCTGCCAAGAAGGGGGGTGGAAATCACACACACACACACACACACACAATTTTGTTTCATGTTTTGGGTGAGGGGCAGAAAAAAATACCTATTTGCAGTCCTTTGGGCAAACTACATTCAAAATTTTTATTTTGCTATTCACCTTCACTATTTTCTCAAATGAACTATTTTTGGTTTTTTGTAACTATGATCTGCAACACTCATCCAAGAACTTGAGACTTCATTAGGGGCTGAAAGTTATACTTTCACATGTACATAATAGGTCACAATAGGCAACAGAAGGGGGAAATAGATCTTCATAGAGAGGTTGACATTTTGCAGACTATTAAGACTATTAAGACTCAATGACCTCTCCTTCGGCCCACATGGGAATGGGGGGGAGGGAGAATTTGCATTTAGAACCTGCACTTTTGAAATTCTAAGACTCTTGAAACTTTGTTTAAGCCCCATGTGATCTGACCAGAAATAACCTCTCTTAGCCTACACTGACCCAAATACTGACAACCCCCTCAAATTTTCTGCATCTCACTCTGGGAAACATTGTCCTCACTCAGGCACACTTAAAAAACAACCAAAAATGTACGTTATATACTAAGGGAAAGGCAAACACAGTTTAGGCATTTTGCTTTTTTTTAAAGCTTAGTGCTGTTATATATTACATATGTGAGTTTCTGCCTAGCTGTGAAGTCACATGGCTAAAATATTCATAATGAAGTGAGAGAACCCACACACCCTCGCCACACACACACCTCCTAGATCACAAGCATCTTCACTATCCTGTAAAGAATTCCTCCCAAAGGAAGTTGAGGCCTAGGAACTTTCTTCCACCTCTGCAGCTTTTTTTTAAATGTGAAAAACAAAACCCGGGGGGGGGGGAGAGGGAGAATATTTCACCCACTCACAAGATATTATATTAGACTTAACAGCCTTTTTACACAGTTTACTAAGAGAGACCAGCTGATTGTTAAACAAAGTGTTAGGCCTCTTTAAAAGGCTTTCAAATAAATGAGCTGTGTACTTTCCACCAACTCCTATTTAAGTGCAAAGGCTAGGAACTAAAGAATTGTACAGCTATTGAAAGCTCATGAGAGCTTTGGACTGAACATGTGTTGGTAACCTCACAGTTGGATTACTGCAATGTGAGGCTACCCTTTGGATTGATTCAGAGGTTGCAGCTGGTACAGAATGCAGTGGCTAAGCTGCTTCTTGGGGCGGGGTGGGGTGGGGTGTGGGACTACCAGAAGCATATAACAACTTGCTTGCAGCCTTTACACTGGCTGCCCATTTCCTACCAGGCTAAGTTCAAGATGCTGGACAGGTCACCTTATGCCTTATACATCCAGTAGATTGCTGTGGTCTACTGGAAAGTATTTCCTGCAAGAGCCAAAGATTTCAGAAGCCAACTCTGCAATAACTCAGAGGAGGGCTTTTAGTATGGCTGCCTCTGTTCTGTGTAACAGCATTCCTGTTGAAATATGGCAGACACCAGCAATCCGCACTTTCCAGAAACAGTTATAGGACAGCTGCATTGTAGGGGGTTGGACGAGATGATCTTCAGGGACCCTTCCAACTCCACAATCTATGATTTTTAGTCCAGCAGGTTTTTGTAGCTGGATAAGGTTTTAGTATTGTTTTAAATGTGTTTACTGTTTTGTGTTTTTAACTGTTTTCAACTGTATTACATGTAAATTGCCTTGAGATGGTGGTTTAATATTATTATAACAACAACAACAACAATGGTAGCCGTCTTTCTATAGCGCCCCCTCAAACCAAAGCTGAGGTGAATGAGAGAGACCTTTTTAGTGGTGGGTCTGCCCACCACTTTGGAATGCCCACATTGTTATTGTTTCAGCATCAGGACAAGCCTTTTTGTGCTCTTCCTAGCATTTTAAGATCATGTTTTAAGTCCCTATGGTATGTCCGCTCATTCGTTGGTTTTAGCGCCTGTAATCGGCACTGTAGTTTGACAGCAAACCCAAAGGCGCACTCCTCCGTTGTCTCCAAGACAGATGGAGTTTTAGTATTTATTGTGGATAATGGTTGTGCTTTGAATTGATTTGTATAATGTGAAGAGAACATGTTTATGAGGTGTTAATTAAGTACAGTGGTACCTCAGGTTAAGAACTTAATTCGTTCCGGAGGTCTGTTCTTAACCTGAAACTGTTCTTAACCTGAAGCACCACTTTAGCTAATGGGGCCTCACACTGCCACCGCCACACAATTTCTGTTATTATCCTGAAGCAAAGTTCTTAACCCGAGGTACTGTTTCTGGGTTAGCAAAGTCTGTAACCTGAAGCGTCTGTAACCTGAGGTACCACAGTATACATAAATCAATAAATAAAATATTTGCCTCAACACACGCACACCCCGCCCCACACAGTGTATCTTAGTATAGCACAGTTCGCTCCCTGGATACCACTACTTGCCCTCTCACTGTCTATACAACAGGAGTGTTCCCTGCTCTCATGGATGTCACATAGATAGCAAAAATAACTTTGTGTGGAATGAGTTGCCTCTGGATTTAGACTAGGATACCTCTAAACAAGGGAAAAGCAAGTCCCTGTGGTGAAGTTTTCGTATGCATGTTAAAAAGCTGACCCAATCCAACGCACCACAGACAGGCACGAGCACTGCACCACTGAAATAAATCATACACATTCATATCTGCCCTAATGTGAATGTTAACCAATCAAAGACACACACAGGAGAATTATAAATATAAAAACCAATAGAACCTTGCTTAAACCTTCAGTGTGAACCACATTTGGCATCAGAACTTATAGAAATGTTAACAGTTGTAAAAAGAAAAAAGAAAAGGTTGGTTCCTAATGGGATATTTTAGGAAGTTATTTAAAATTATTGTTCTAAAAATTAGCTAGAATAAGCAAAGCTCGAGTTACACTGCTCAAGTTAATGCTGATGACATTCTGGTATCAGAGCAACCATCTCCCAGCTGTTCTGCAATAGAACAGATGGGGTCTCATTGCCAAGAACAAGGTCAGCCCCCTGTAAGGCTTGATTCGAAGAATGAACAAAATGCATCTTACTCTAAAGCATTTCTAAAAGCTGAGTAAAGATAAATTCTTCCTTGGACAGCCACTCCAACACTTTACTCGCTTTGCTCCACCTCTGAAAATTATGCATGCATGTGAACATGCATATAATGCCCCCCTTCCTCCACATACATTGACTGAACTTTGAAATACCCAAAGGCTCAGTTCAATTGCTGGTCTCCCCATAGTGGCTAGCTAGGAAGTTCACAAGTGGGTCATGATGGAGGCCAGCCATGCTTGATGACCAGAAGCGTATCACCTCTAAACATGCTTCAGTTGTGACCTAACAGCCAGGCATTTTTCTAATCTATTTCTAAGCCATCCCTAGCAACATGAAAAAGCAAAGAGGCATAGCAGAGGATGGTTTTGATCCACTGCCATTTGTGCTATGGGAACAGCATCCATCCACTGTGCTCTTTGGCTAAGTCCACTGCAGAGATGGTAAGCAAACCCAGACTTTCTGTAACAAAGCCAATATTTTTACCCACTAACCCATGATTCACTTGAAAATAAGAATGCCAACACTCACCACAGGCCCTGAGCTCAATTTTACCTTTTTTTTCTTAATGGACATCTTCTAACACCTGCACATTACTTTGAGTCCCTGTATCATTCTGTAAAATAAAATGATCTATTCATCTGAAGTCATTGAACTCAAGCTGCATGTAACTAGATGCACAAATTGTATTTAACCAATTCTTTTACAGTGGTACCTCAGGTTACAAACACCTCGGGTTACAAACACTTCAGGTTACAGACTCTGCTAACCCGGAAGTAGTACCTTGGGTTAATAACTTTACCTCAGGATGAGAACAGAAATCGTGCGGCGGCAGCGGGAGGCCCCATTAGCTAAAGTGGTACCTCAGGTTAAGAACGGTTTCAGGTTAAGAACAGACCTCCAGAACGAATTAAGTTCGTAACTAGAGGTACCACTGTAATTGTTAACAAACACCCCTAGCCCTCAGGACAGAATCTGAAGTAACGACAAAAGTCTGCCTAAGCAGCTGAGCATAAACGTCATCAACAACAACCCCTGGCCCAGTCACCAAATCATTATCAATCACTGTTGATTTGAACTTTAAAGAGTAGGGGAGATGTCCACGAAGTTGTAATGTCAGTGCAATGACTTTGGGTTGTGGAACTTCCCCTTCTTCTCCACTCCCCATGTGCTCCCGGGGTTCTTTCAACCCTATGGAGCAGATCTGAGGAGCGGGGGGAGACACATGGGGACAGCAGAGAGAAGGGAGGTTCCACTGTGCAAAGACAAATCCTTGTCCTAACAGAACTACTTCACTGGACACTGCCCTGTGAGCTTAACAAGCTGAAAACCCTAGAAAATACTTTTAAATCATCCTTGTGAACAAGTTCACATAAATTGCTAGCCTGTAAACATTTAGTAGCCTGTTGAGGGCCGGCAGAGGAAGAACAGAGAACCCCTATCCCTCCTACAGCAGCCCTCTCTACTCCTGTGCTTTCCTTCTCTGGCAGCCGGTTCAGCTGCTGCGCTGAGCGCTGAGGATGGACAGAGCATTCACTTGCATGCATGGAATTCCTCGTCGCCTATGGCTACCAGGCTAGTGCTTAAATACAAGGCGTGGTACCAATATCATTATACTTAAAGTGACTGCATTCCACACAAGATAGAAGGGTTGTGTTCCAAAGCCCTTCATCAGGTTTCAGCAAGACATAGCTGATACTGTTATAAGCATACCTCCCTTTCAGATTTTCAAGTTCCCTGTGGTGAAGCATACTTCTCATGTGCTCATCCATCTCCTAAAAGCAGAAAAAGTGTTAAAATATAAATAGCCAGAAAACAGAGCATAATTAAGTACTCCTCATCCATATCTATCAATTTCCTCCTATTAAATTTTGTCAGTTTCTTTGATGGCTTATTCCACTATCCACTGTTTTTTACTGGCGTTAGAATGCGAAATCACCTTTGCAGAAAAGGTGGCACTAAACAGAGGAGAAACAACGTTTTATAATATAGAAATGAAGAAGGGTATCTGCTTTCATACTGTTCAAAAAGCACATTATACATGTTCTGTTCTACAAATATATAATATTCTCTCTGTCTCTTAGGATTCAATTATTTGATTAGGCAACTATTGTACACACTCTTTTGGGTCTTCTATATGGATCTGAAAAGGCTTGCACATTTCCAGCCATTTTTTCTCATTAGTTTCCTTTGTATAATCATATCTAGGTTTTTTACATGCTCTTCTTCCCTCCCAATTATATACCTTCCCTCCCCGGTTATATGTGTGATTATATTTGGCCTCCATTTCTTAAATGTGTACTATCCAGAGAGCCACATTAGAAGATTTAGGAGCGATCACAAAGCACACAGTGTTAAGGATAACTGGGCAACACTTACCGTATTTTTCGCTCCATAGGGCGCACCGGACCATAGGGCGCACCTAGTTTTGGGAGGCGGAAAACAAGAAAAACTCATTCTGAACCCCAGAAGCCAGAACAGCAAGAGGGATCTGGCTTCTGGGATACCGTGTGGCTATTCTGGCTTCTGGGATAACCGCGCCAAGCCTCTTCAGGGCAGCGGGATGAAGGCTCCCCCTGCCCGAAGAGGCTGCGCAGGGCTAAAGCAGAAGCCAGGACAGGCGCGTCGCTGAAGGGGAGCTGCGCCTTCTCTCTCTGCGCAGAGAGGGAGAAGGCACAGCGCCCTTCAGCGAAGCTGGAGAAGGAACAGAAGGAGACCCTTCTGTTCCTCCTCCGGCTTCGCTGGACAGATGCGTCGCTGCGAAGCGGGAGAAGGGACAGAAGGAGACCTTCTGTTCCTCCTCGGGCTTCGCTGGACAGGCGCGCCACTCAAGGGGTGCTGCGCCTTCTCTCTCTCTGCGCAGCGCCTCTCCTTCACAGGAGAGGTGCCGCGCAGGGAGGGAGAAGGCGCAGCGCCCTTCAGCGAAGCTGGAGAAGGAACAGAGAGAAGGCGCAGCGCCCTTCAGCGAAGCTGGAGAAGGAACAGAAGGAGACCCTTCTGTTCCTCCTCCAGCTTCGCTGGCAAGGCGCATCACTGCGAAGCGGGAGAAGGAACCGAAGGAGTCCCTTCTGTTCCTCCTCGGGCTTCGCTGGACAGGCGCGCCGCACACGGGGTGCTGCCCCTCCCCCCTCTCTGCGCGTCGCCTCTCCTTCACAGGAGAGGTGCCGCGCAGAGAGGGAGAAGGCGCAGCGCCCTTCAGCGAAGCTGGAGAAGGAACAGGAGACCCGTCTGGTCCTCCTCCAGCTTCGCTGGCAAGGCGCGTCACTGCGAAGCGGGAGAAGGAACAGGAGACCCTTCTGTGCCCCCTCCGGCTTCGCATGACAGGCGCGCCGCTCAAGGGGCGCGCCGCTCTCTCTCCGCGCTTCACAGGAGAGGCGCTGCGCAGAGAGGGAGAAGGCGCAGCGCCCTTCAGCGAAGCTGGAGAAGGAACAGAAGGAGACCCTTCTGTTCCTCCTCGGGCTTCGCTGCACAGGCGCGCCACTCAAGGGGCGCTGCGCCTTCTCCCTCTCCACGCAGCGCCTCTCCTTCACAGGAGAGGTGCTGCGCAGAGAGGGAGAAGGCGCAGCGCCCTTCAGCGAAGCTGGAGAAGGAACAGAAGGAGTCCCTTCTGTTCCTCCTCCGGCTTCCAGGTCAGGCGCCTCGCCGCGAAGCCGAGGAGCCTGCATTCGCTCCATAGGACGCACACACATTTCCCCTTCATTTTTGGAGGGGGAAAAGTGCGTCCTATAGAGCGAAAAATACGGTAAGTATTTTAGCTCAACAAATGTTAAAATGTGTATTGTGCTAGTCTAATTTGTTTCTGGGAATTCATCCTGTAGCTTAGTGTGTATTCTGGGCAGAAAGTGAGGCTAGTCTCTGTAGCAGAGCTCTGAGAAATCCGACTCTCTGCTCATGGGGACGTGTCAGTTCTAATAGAAGAGAAAATAGTTATTAAGAGACCTCTCCCACCCACCCCTTCTCCTCCTCAAAAATTCCTCAGTGGTTAAGGACTTGACCTGACCTATACAAATGCATTTCGTCTAATTCTATTTTTGCTCTGAGAGCTCTGCCTGATTAACTTCTTCTAAGGTCCAATTCTGACTTTACATTTTGTACCCAAGCACACATTACATGTGCACCTCACCAGGTATGAAGGGTGTATACACGTACAATTCAATCTGCATTACTTTCAGAAATTCAATTTTCCTGGCCACCACTTCCAATGTGGGTGTTTTTTGGGGGGGGGACACCTAGCTGATTCTTTTATTGTTCACCCACATACGTGGGTCCACAGGGAATCATATATTTAATTCCCCACAGAGGGGCCCTTTTGTAAATCCCAGTGCCATCATCTGAAGCATGGTCGGTGGAAACATGAAAGGGCGCTTTCTCTGAGCACCACACAGGATGCAGAACACATTGCCACAGAAGAGCCACTTAACCCCTTCTCTGTTGTTAATCTGCTCTCGGCTTAAAACCTTTTTGGGCCCTTTCTCACTTAAACTTTTTGTTTCTCCTGGAGTAAAGTTATGGTAGTTGCTGTTGTTTCTTAACATTGTGAGCTTAATATTTATTATTACCATTATTAATATGAATTGATTTTAATGTAATGAAAGCCACCTTGAACAACTCTGGAAACACCTCTGGAAAATTAAGATATGCATCTTAAATCAACATAGCCTCTTTCAGAAAACTACATTTGATTGGGATAGTTGACATTTCAGTTTACCTTTTTTGAGCTGTATATGATGTGACACAATATACATTTTCTTTCTCGGACCATAGTGAACACTTTGAAAATGTCTTATCCGACCCCTACAAACAGGGAAAAAATAAACCGTATTCAGTAACACTTCAACAGTTTCCTAGTTTTTATGAAAAACCAAGTGTGACATTAAAACAACCAAGCACACCATTTTATTTTCATTCTGTCATTCACATCTTCAGTTTAGCTATAGTTCTTTTTCATAGCAACCTAACTGCTATTGCTCTTTGATCAAGTACTAAAGTAATGTTTCTGAGCACCAATGGTGGCCATTTAATCTTGGACTGGAAGAAGGATACATTGAAGAACCGAAATACGTTGGATAAAATTCAAATTTTACTTGCACAAATAGTGCAATTTAATGACATTATTGTCATGAAAGGATAGTTCTTTTGTAAAAACTACATTTTTATTAATCATTTTTCTTGCTATTTCAGATGAAAATCAAATCAAAGTTTTGATAAATTCAAGATAAAACCAGGAGCATGTCTTGACCACTACAGAAAACGATTGAGTTTTAAAGATTAAGCAGCATATGATGAATAAAATAGCAAATGCTGTATAGCAATGCCATCATACAGCACATCAGTTTTTGTTCACATCCTAGTCATGTTAAAGTAGATATATGCAAATATGTCTTCTACACTGTTTATTTAACCATGCTAGATATTCATACTAACAGATATATCAGAAATATGTATAACTGCTTTGAGTAGTATATAACGGTAGGTATTTTTTTACAATTGAGTGGTATATAGCTTTATTAAATAAATAAATAACTAAATAAATAAAATTAAATTAGGCATTTCAGGAAGCAGTAATGTAAGCCCAGTATTATTAATTTTTTTTGGGGGGGGGAGAATCTCCTTCCTGGAATAAACTGTCTGAAGGTGAAAAGTCACATGGTGAATGCACAGGGCTTTGCAAACTAGGATGCAGCTGGTGAAATGTAAGAGCAATAGCTATGAGCCCCACTTTCTATGTCGGTTTTGGGCTCTTATTGGGGCATCTTAGGTTAATAGCCAGCCGCTACTGCTAATACAGGAATAACACTGCACTAACATACAAGTTTATTTTAAGAACTACTGAGATAATAGGTGGGATGTGATAACAATAAATACTTAATAGTATTCTGCTTAACGAGTATTAAACAGGAAGTCTCACTGGGCTAAACACAAGCTCTGGGGCTTGTGTTGCCTTCTCCTAACTGAAACAGACAATCCTACTATAGTAATATTATAGTATATTGAGAATACCAGACAACATGCACAGGTAGATTACAGGACATGACTGCATGAAAGTATTTTTTGAGAAACATAGGTCGAGGGTCAATATTTAAAACACCCTTAATACAGGACGCAAACTGCTGCATAACAGCTACGATGTTAAGAGACTGCAGAATCTGCCATTATTAGAATGCACGCTTTCATCTTTCTTGTACCATTTGTACACACTGACTAGCAGTTACATGCAGGAACTGCCGAAGGTTTTAACTCACAGAAAAGAATGTTTCTGAAGTATAAAGCACAGTTTTAAGTAACTGAGGAAGAGCTCTCATGTAGAGAGAGTCATCAACAAACTACCCGGTAAAATTCTGTCAGGTACAGACATTTAAGGTTTTGTGTGTGTGTGTTTGTGTTACGCTGGAAAATGTCTCCCACTCCAAGCAGAAAACTTTAAAGCATCTATTTTTTTGGAGGGGGGCAGCCCAACCCTCAATAGCTGCGGCATAACTTTCATGACTCTAAGATGAAAAGAATGCCGTTCAAGATCACTGCAGTCAAGCGGCAAAATTATAAACATCCCTTTAAACTTCTGAAGCTTACTTTAATGTGAAAAGGAACTTGCGAGTATTCTTAAAAGCAAGAGGTGCTAATCCTTATACGGAATATTGTGGATTTCCTTGTCGGCTATAACCTGCTCTCTGTGCCTAATATTCTATGTGAGCGTTGCTTTGTAGTTGATGAATTAATGCTCACTGTATGTTTAGCATATTGCTTAAAATTGGCTCAGTGTTTCTGGAATTTGTTGGGCAGAAGGGAAGCCAAAAACTTAATAGGCACAGCAAGGTCACTAGAGTAGGCCCGGCTTTTAGAATCAGTTAGCACACTCCGTTAAAGTGACTTTTACCAAGCGGATCTAAAATTACACCTGCTTTGGTGAATTAGAGTATCAGAGTAACTATACATGATCACAAGAGGAGTTTAAAAGGATTCCCGTCAGCTGCCCAATCAACTGCAGCCACTTATGAGAGAAGGCTAAAAATACTGGCGGAGGTCAGCTGCTATTGGCTGTCACTATGGGAGGCAAGGGCAAGCTTCTTTCTGCAAAGGGACCGCTCAGACTGCACTCAAAGAGGCAACAGGTTCTGGTCTAGAATCAAGTTCTCAAGGGCTCTTTCATGTCACCCAGGGAAGGTCACAGAAGGAATAAAATGCCTGTGAAGAAAAGAGGGGTGCAGCAGGGCCCTCCTTGTTCTATTTGTGAGCCAGGTGACCTCACGCATCCATTTACCTGGCAGGTATGACACTCCAACAGGAAGGCCTTGGGGATTTGTGCCACACCCACTTGGATACAGCAGGCAAAGCAAGGAAACTAAGGACCATTTGGGCAATGGGAGCAGCACAGGGAGTGAGGATGGGCTGGTTCAAAAGAGGAACAAGGAATCTATGCAAAGAGGTGGCAGAACCCCAAGGCTCAGGCTTTCCTCCAATGAAAAAAGGGCAGCAGTTTCCTAGAGCAGAAGGCAAGAGTTCTCGGAGCAGATAAAGTGCTATGGGAGGCAATCCCTCAGGAATCCTGGCTCCAAGCCATTAGGGTTGGCCAGCCGGCCGGCCGGCCAAACCTTTTTCAGACCAACAGCCACATTCCTTCTGGGCAACCTTCCAGGAGCCACATACCAGCGGCAGGTGAAGCCAGAGGCAAAAGTGGAAACAGCAACAAATGTAAATTTTACCAAAAAAAAAAGACGAAGAAAAAAAACCAAATGTACATTTTGCCTTCATACAGTAACCGAGGTCCTAGACACCCTTTGAATCACCCATGGAGGGAAGCATTATCAGAATGGAAGGACACATTTCAGGTGGGCAAAAATACTCAAGGGGTTGCAAACAAGGCCAGTGAGAGGCGTGGTCTGGGAAGAGTTCTGAGGACCAGGTAGAGAGATTTGAAGGGCTGCATTTCGCCCACCCCTGCATTAAGGGTTTAAAGGTAATCAACAGTAAGTTGAGCTGTGCCTTGGAGCAAACTGGCAGTTGGAACATACAGAACAGATATAACATGGTCCAATGGTTATGTGGCCACTAAAATTCTTGCTGCTGCATTCCAGATCAACTGCAGCTTCCAAAGGCTCTTCAAAGGTAGTCCCATGCATAACACATTGCCCTTCCCTATATAATAAAAAATAAAACATTTATATCCCACCTTTCCTCCAAGGAACTCAAGATAGCCTACACAGTTCTTCCTCCCATTTTATCCTCCCAACCATCCTCTGAACTATGTAAGTCAGGCTGAGAGACAGTGGCACTTCATGGCAGAGTAGGGATTTGAATCCAGGTCCCCCAGGCCCAAATCCAACACTCTAACCATTACACTACACTGCTTATTCCAGGGACTGACCAGGACTTTGAGAGGATCACAGGCTGAAGCAGTCGGAAACTCACCTAGGGCTGTCAGGAAACCTTTTGGCTCCACCTTGCTCCAAAGGCTGCCACCTTCTAAGCTTTCAGAGGTTAGAAGCTTTTGTGAGTTGAAAAGGACCACATATTGCCCCTCCATACCCAGATCACCCTCCTCCTGTACAGAACAAAAAAACCAAGTCCAGAGTATTCTCCTGGACCTATGGTTGCCATGGAGGCAGAACCTCCAAACCTACCCCACAGCACTTTTTAGGAAGTAGTGAGTGGTGGACCCAGTCCAGTTTGGCATCCATCTGTCTAGAGCAGGGGTCGGCAATTTTTTTTGCCACAGGCCGGTCCACTATCCCTCAGACCTTGTGGCAGGCCAGAGAAGCGGCACCGGAGGGTGGGGGAGTTGGAAGAAGAGGTATGGGGGCAATTATTCCTCCCCACCCACCCCCAGCCGCTGCGCTTACCTTCCCTGGGGCTGCCACCGCCACTGCCACCACCGCTGCTTCTCATGGGCAGGCAGAGCGAGCTCGTCCGCTCCGCTCTCTGGCCCACAGGAGCACCAGGGCAGCGGTGGCGGTGGGAAGATGAGCAGCACGAAAGGGATGGCTCCAGAGAGGGGCTGCTTAAAATGGCACTCAGCCAGCCCCCTTCCTCCTCTAGGCAAGACGGGGAGAAGCCAGAAGGAGGGAGGGAGGAGGCACCGCCATGGTGTGGGGGGCAGGAAAAAAATGGCACAGCCCAAACGAACAGAATCCCCATGCCGATCCACGAACAGTTCACGGGCTGGATCCTGAAGGCAATTGGGCTTGATCCGGCCTGCGGGCCTTAGTTTGCCGACCCCTGGTCTAGAGAGACAATGGAGTGTGCCTCCAGGGGCAAAGCCAAACTGCTGAAGAACCACAGTGCCTGCTACAAAGATCGGTAACTAATAACTGCTGCCTCCCACACTGTTTTTGCTGCATTATCACAGAAGTGACCTCTCCAGGGCACAAGCTTGGGCAGTGTGTATGGAGGTCCTGGCCTGCCCAGTTGACAAGACCCACCTCTCGGCCTCATTGATGTAGTCTAAAGGAAAGCAGAGAAATATGTTTAGCACCAGCTCAACGGCACTGTGGAAACATCGGTTCCATGAAGTTCACTGAGTGACCTCAGGCCGATCAGTCTGACCTAACTCACAGGGTTGTGACAAGGATGAAATAGAGCGGTGGAACCATGTATACCACTTGGAGTGCCTCAGCAGAAAGGCAGGATATAAATGTAACAAACAAACTACATAAGCAAATGTTCTGTTGTCTATTCCAGGCATGTCCAACGGGTAGATTGTGATCTAAAAAAAGCTCAGGCTCCACAACTTTGGCTTCCTAAAAAACCTCCACAACTTTCAGTAGTAGATCACTGCCAGTCTTTTTACGACAATGGGTAGATCATTGCCAGTTTTTTAATACTGTGAGATCGCAGACTATTGGGAGTTGGACTTCCCAGACTCTATTCCAGGGGTCAGCAAACTTTTTCAGCAGGGGGCCGGTCCACTGTCCCTCAGACCTTGTGGGGGGCCGGACTATATTTTGGAGGGGGGGGATGAACGAATTCCTATGCCCCACAAATAACCCAGAGATGCATTTTAAATAAAAGGACACATTCTACTCATGTAAAAACACGCTGATTCCTGGACCGTCCGCAGGCCAGACTGAGAAGGCGACTGGGCCGGATCCGGACCCCGGGCCTTAGTTTGCCTACCCATGCTCTATTCCAACCAGTACACCAGAGGAGAAAACCAGCCATAATGCCCACTTCTGCAGCAGACCACAATACCAAATCACACACCACATAAGAACTCCTGTGCTACATTCAGAATTGCAATCTGCCCCTCCTAACTTCACTGGACAGTGTCAACCCAGAAGCTATTACCCAGCAAAATGGTCCAGACAGACCCATCCACCACCGCTACGTTCTCCTGGGACTTGCTGCAGCAGCTCCAAATGAGAATCATTCTACACCACAGGAAACACCTGTGTCCACATCCTACCTGCAACTGCATGCTGGAAATAAGTAGCAGATTTGCTTCTCAAATAAGTAAGTTTGGCTGTGCCACAGATAAAAGATAAACTCTTCTCTTTCAAGGAAAGTGTTGTCCCATCAAATGCTTTCATGGCCTCAGTGGTGCAGAGTGTCTTCCATCAGCTTCAGTTGGTGACCCAGCTATACTCTTATGTAGAGAGGGATAACCTAACTTCTGTTGTCTATGCTCTGGTAACTTTTAAAATATTTTATACAAGGGGCTACTTTTGAAGACAGTTCAGACGCTGTAGGTGCAGAATTCAGTGGCCAGGTCGCTCCCCAGGGAAAGATGGTCTGCGCACAGAACACCAATTCTGGCCTGACTGCACTGGCTACCAGATAGCTTCCGGGCCCAATTCAAAGTGCTGGATTTGACCTAAGAAGCTTTATGCAGCTCAGGACCCGAATGCCTCAGGGTCTGCCTTTCTCCAAATGAACCAACCCAGATGTTAAGACTCGATACCACAGTAACTCTTAAGTTTGGGTCATAATTGACAATTACCAGTTTCAGACTTGAAAACAAACTACATATATGCATATTAAATTGTACTAAGGGCTATTCTCATTTGTTCTTTGTGGACTGCATTCATATCTGTTACATAGGACAACTCTTGAAAGACTTACAAGTTACACAAACACTTTTTAGAATGATCCAAGAAAATGTGTCAAACAACATTATGGAAGTATTGAAAAAACTACACCTCTGAAGTATTCCCGAAAGTGCCCCAAAGTTTCCACACCACAGTTTAAGAAGCACTAGCAGATGTCGACGCACCCATTTGTAGCAGCATATTAAATAATATGCAAAACATATGCATTAATGGTTAGCCTCTCCCTACTTTATAGGATGCTCCTAATTACAATGCTGTCTGCATGGTGCGTACAAGCTGTGAAAGCTATAATGCAAGAAAATTCATGTCTCCGATATCACGCCTCCCCCCCCAACAAGGTTTCTAGGTTAAGCTTTTACTGCCACAAGTGGGGCTTTGTGTTAGTCCTCCAATGTGTGCTTCAAAAGTACAAAATCTCGCGCAAAGGCTGCTTTGCACGCTGCCCTCCAGCCTTACGTGCTCGGCAGCCCTAACCTAACAACTTCATTTAAGATGGTTCCCCCGAACTGCCCCATCCCACAAATAACCGTAGCTGTAGGTCTCGCATACTCGTGACCTACAGCCACCCCATCTACATTGCCGCCGTGCCTGCGCTTAATCTCAGCCTCTCCTCCTCCCCACGCACTGGAGAGCCAGGCACCGCCCGTCCACCTCTCAGTACTCACAGGTCGTACCCTCCTCACCCCGCTGCGTAGCCCAGGCCCATCGCCCAGCAAGATGGGCTGGCCACGGCCCCCTCCCTCCTCCGCCGCCTTCCCCGCTGCCGCCGCCGCCTCCTCCTCCTACTCCGGACACTTGCCGACCCGAAAGAGACCCGCGCCACAACGCAGGAAGCGCCCCATCGATTCAGCCAATCGGAAAGCCCAGACCGTACGCGCCTTTGCATTCTGGGAAGAGTAGTTTTCGCGCCTCACAGAACCCGACTCGGCGGCGCTCTTTCCGACGGGAAACGACTCTTGCGAGAGAAAATTGTGGCCACGGCCATAGGGCGCGGGGCATTTCGGGAGTTGTAGTTTTGCACCCGGAGGCGGCGGAACTTGGGCACTTTCTGTTGAATTCGATTGGCGTTGCTTCCAGATGGCCGTGCGCGGGAGTGGGTTGTAAGGCATGGATCCTTCGTTGGGACGAGGCCCTGCCGACGCGGTTCACAGTGGGGCGTCTTTCTAAGCTCCCTGAAATGATGCAGGGATTAGACATGATGATTCTTGGAGACGAAGCTTGTCATCCTCGAGAATTCAGCTATTAAACCTAAACTCAGCTGAATAAAAAAAACCTGCGTGCTCAGACAAACCTGAAAGCTAACGCACAATTTTATTTATTTATTTATTTTGAGCAGACACAATACATATTTATTTTCTAAATTTATATCCCATTCACCGCAAAACAGCACGCAGGAAGGAGCACATGAATTGCATAAAAAAACTACATATAAAATACTTAAAACTAAAACATGTTCTTCCACCTGTCCTAAATGTCTTCAGTCAACGCACAAATCTTTATTAATTACACTTTAGTGGGAGAAAGTTGTAATGATTTGCTATTGCCCTTCCAGCCAGTACATGGGACTTTAAGGAGATTTCTTTATTCCTTGCTTAAGTCTGCTTATTATCATATTTTTATATTCAGAGAAGAATCTGGAAAATTCAGCTATGTCGATCGTAGAGGTAGACACACGTCTCAAAAACCTAAACGTAGATTAGCCTATATATCGAAAAGCAAGGACGTCTCCACCGCAGGTGTCAGACCTGATGCAACGATTGCCACCGACTTTGGCACTTTGAATCCATAACCAACTAACGGAGTGGAAAGGAGAGCGCCAGCGGAAACAACAACTCTCTAGATGAGCAGCCGTCTTAGTGTTTGGCAGCAAAATAGAGAGTCTTGTGGCACCTGAGAGATCAACAAAGTTGTTATAGCACAAGTGTTTGCGGACTACTGTGCATTGCGTTAGATGCAAGAAGCGTTACCCAGAGTTATAGGTATGTGTGCACAAGTTTGGGAGGGGAGGTTATAGAAAGCGAGGCCAGATGGAAACCGAATGCAGAAAACCAAACAGTGATTACTGGATTGGTGTTCTGGAAAGCGAAAGGAGGACGCGGAGTTTGACAGTCACTCGCTTTCGCCAATAACTCGAAGCGGAAGCGACTAATGCAATCCTGAGTGGGGGTTGCGGAGGAGGCGGGTGTTGTTGTCAAGGAGCGAGGAGGAGACACCTCGTCGGTCAAGAAGGAACTGGAGGGCGGAGGCTGTGAGGAAGTAGCCCGGGTGGGGCTTGGCGGAGCGAAGGGGCCCCCGCAGACTCGAGGCAGAGCGGAAGGCCCGAGCTCCCGGGTGCGGGGCTGGAGAGGAGGGCGAGGGCTGCTCGACTCCGAAGCCGTGTGAGTGAGCCTCGAAAGGGAAAGCAAGGAGCGGGCAGCCTGGGGCGGCGGGGGCGAATCCGGGGATGGGGAGAAGCGGGCTCGCGGAGTACGTGTGAATGAGCGCAGCGGCGTGCAAGGGAAGCTGCGAGTGCGGGATCTGCTCGGAGGGGAGGTCGGGCGAGGTGCCGGAGGGAGGTGGGGCGCTCGAGGTGCCCGGGAAAGGAAGGGGCCGGCTGGGCGTCTCTCGGCTTCATACACACATATATACAGGGTATATCTATCTGTATATAATGGTCGGCTGGGCTGGAGCTGAACCTGGGCGAGGATCTGCGGCGAGTGGCCCAGGAATGCGGGCGGATGAGGAGCCCTGCGGAAGGGAGGAAGGAAGGAGGAGAGAGGGAGAGGCGGATAGTGCAGGAAGCGGCGAGGAGGGAGGGAGAGGCAGAAGCGCCGCTCTCGCATCCCCGGCAGCGGAGGGAACTCGGCGGGCGAAGCTGCCCGGCCGCCCCTTCCCGGCTTCCGGGGTGCTGCCTGCTTGCCTGGGACTGGCCCCGCTTGGTCTGGCGAGTTAGGGATTCGTGAAGGAAATGTGGCCAACTGGCTTCCTCTCCCCAGAGCTGCCCTATATTTCATGCTATATCATTACTACATAAGGTGTGAATCCTTTTTCTGAGCCCTTAATTCCTGATGGTGCTTTAGAATGGAAAGGCACTTAAGGGAGAAGGTACGGTAACTTCAGTTTTGGGGCGTTCCCAGCAGAGGGTACATAAAACAAGTGAGTAGGCATTTCAGAGTAATAGCAGTAGCTGGTTTATGGAAAACAAGAGTTTAAGGCATACTTTTATCCTTCACAGTATGCTCCACAATTGAAAGTTCACTCAGGAGTCAGTGCTGTAGGGCACCTGCAAAGGCCCACACCAAAGCAGGGTCTGCTGGTCTTTTTCCTCCTTGCTGTTACTGCATTTTTATGTGCCCTCTCCAAGAAACGCCATTCGTTTAAAACACATGACTTCTCCCAAAGAATCCTGGGAACTGTGGTACGTACACAGTCCAGGAGTATGGTCAAGGGCAAGGAGAGCAGCTTCCACTCATTCTCTACTTCAGGGCAGTGGTACACATTAGCCCAAGAAGCAGAAGGCAAATGACTGGGCAGTGTCAGAGTGGCTGGAAGAAAAGGATATAGTATTGCCCAAATCTGGACCCAACACTAGGTTGAAAGCCTTTACATCTTCATAATCTTGAGAACATGATATAACTTGAATCTTTGGTAAGGTACATGAAGTAGATTGTGCGATATGGAGCTGTTCATCTTATTTCCAATTATTCATTTTTGTCTATGCTTTCTACTCTTTTGCTATTTCCTGTTCTTCTATTCTCCCATATGGTTCCCCATTTCCCCTTCTACTTGATCTTTTCTAACTCCTCCCACTTCTTTTTTTCTACTCTTCACCCCATGTCTTTTGTACATAGAGATAACTATTAACTATTATATGTAAACATGCTCCTTCCTCCCTTGAATGCACATTCCTATGCAGCAGCGTCTGATCAAAGAGCAGTCTCCCCTCATCCTCTACCCAATAACTACATTATAAACTATTCCAGGCTGTGTTGGCTATTCTCCATCTGGTTCATAGTCCTTCTGAGGACTATATTTGCCATCAGCTTTGGTATCTCATGCAGCAGCATTAGTGAAATATAGAGCACAGCTTTTTCAGAACCCTACAAAAGTTGCCTGCAGGAATCCCTGGTAATCACAGTTTCCAGGGATGAGCAGGAAATTACAAGGCTTATGCTTGCCTTTTTGTATGACTTGAGGTCTTGTTCACACATAGTACTGGCCTCTCTTGCTACCATACACATTTATCTCCTTAAGAGTTATGGTAGTCTGCAGGCCTACGCATCCAGCACTATCAGCTTATTTCATATGTTAGCACCCCCACAACATTTGCCATTCCTGAGTTTTATTCCCTTGTTTCTTAAAGTAGTCATACTCTTAAGAATACTACAAATAGTACTCTATACATTTTTAACTTAGATGCATACATACTCAGTTCTGTTTCATTTTGACGATTAGCACTGGGATCCAAAGAGCCCCTTGTGAATGTTGAAGGCAACTTTATACATGCAAAGAGGATGCAGCAATTTTCCTTTCTAGCCACAACCCTTTCATTGGCACTGAGTGCCAAGCTGGAGAGTCTCCAGATTTACAGGCTAAGTGTTTTGAGGGAGGGTAATGGGCTGAGGGGAAAAGGGGAACTGAATAGCCTCAGTGCATTCAGCCTTTAAGACCCAGTTTAGAGAGGGAAAATGAACATCAGGAATAACTTGATGTTCCATGGCGCTGATTGTCATATCCTACTTACAGTTTTAATATATATAAAATACTTGAGCCGTGAGGTCTGCCATGAGAATTGCATCAGTGTTCCAACTAACCTAAATAACCTTTCTAATAACTTTCTTTATATCTCAAAATTGCTTCTATCATACACTTCAGAGTAAGTCTCAAAGCCATAAAAGATATTTACTCAGGAAGTGTTGTGTTTGTGACTTCTTCAGAGTAAGTCACAAAGCAATAAAAGATATTTACTCAGGAAGTGTTCTATTTAAAGATATAGGCTGTGATGCAAATCACTATGTTCACCTGTTTCCAATCCCCCTTTGCACAGTGCATGCTACCAAAGTTGGTGTTCTTTTTCTTTCTGCACAGCAGTCGCTTGTGACTACTGAGTAACGTCTTAACAAAATTTGGGGAACTCAGGAGGGGATTAAAAGTGATGTGAAAGGGTGCATTTATAAATTAAAATTGGCAGTTATTCCCCTGCAAGTGGAAGTACTTATACTCTGGTGAGGAGCTGTTTCACTTCTGGCACCATGAATATCAATACAAAAGATAGCTCTTTAGCAACAGAATGCTTGCTAATATCACAAGGGGAATTCATTGCTGGGGATTTTAGTAATTCCAGCATTGGCTGTCTTCTAGCACTATTCCGCTGTTTCATTTTTGTTGACCAAGAAGTTGAGAGAGAGCACCTTACATCAACATGAAAGTATGCAGTCACTTGAGACAGCTTTATAAAAGAAATTTCCTCCCTAAGAAGAAGCTGATTTGTGGGGAATTAGTTGTTCCACTACTAATTGTATTTTGGATTGTATTTTGGGTTATGGAGACCTGTTTGCTCATGGAAGTTTCTCTTACATTCAATGATCAAATCAAGTAACATACTTGCCTTTGTATAAATGCAGTCTCCAGAACTGCTTCTGTAACTTGGGTCTTTGGGTCTTTTCTAAGGTAGGTGCAGGTATTTGGAGTTCCTTTGCTGTAGAATGCATGAAAACTACCTCCAAGACAATGTTCATACCCACACATTCTTCTTTTCAAATTATCTTTGAACGTGACAACTACTAAAGTTTTGAACAACAAAGCAGAAGCAAACTACAAAATGAAGTCAAAATTAAGTCGAATTTATACTGGTTTACCTATTGTAGCTTTTCAAAAAAAATATTCTGGGGAGGGTAGTTTGACAGCTGTGGAGGTTTTGATTTGTAGTGTAGATAGTAGATACTGCTGTTACTTAACTCTAGAAGGCCTTCCTATGTAGTATTTAGGCTGTTTCAAGTGTTAAACAAGCAAAGCAATCAACATTCTGTCCCTGTGCTATCTGAAAGAGCAGCAATAACACTATTGTCCTTGTAGCATATTTAGGAAGCTGATAAAAAAGACAGGAAGAGATGTTGAGTGGTGTCTTTGTTTTCACATTTATTTACTTTTTAGTCAGTGTAAAGTAATAGGGAAATAACTTTTCTGCTGCAAAATAGTACTAGTACGAATGTTGTTGGTAGCTAATGTGTTGCAAAATTCTTGGATCCTTCAGGCTTCTGATGAGATTTAAGTGTACAACTTCAAAAAATCTCTGCTTGTGAAATTCTGCTAAATATTCCTGATGCTCCTCTTAGTTAAATTCGTATTGTTCAAGTCCCAGGCCATGTCAAATACATGCGGCAAGAGGTAGGGAACCTCCTCCAACCATTGTGAGCCATTTTGACAGATTGGTGGGTCTGCCCACCTGTCAAATCACTTGATGTCACCCTTTTAAAAGAATCTGAGTCATGAGAGCATAATGGAACAAAAAGTTTATTTTAAAAAATTTGACATTCAATAGTCAACATGCATGTCTGGGGGAAGGTTTTAAATATGCCCAGACAACATATCAGGAGAGCTAAGACAAGCTAGGAAGAAATGATAGATTGTGAGGAGGAATGTAAAGGTAAAGGTGGAGAATGGAATCTTTTGTGTCAGGTTCAGGGGATGGGAGTGGAATGGTTTAAACTTTAAAGGAAAGAGCTGTGACAAAATGCTGTGGGCTGTGCACTACATGGAAATTAGCCAAATTTTAACTGATGTTATTTACTCATTAAAATTGCCTGCCACCCTGGAAGTAATACGCTAGGTATGGGTGGACATTTTCAGAGGAACCTATTGCTTCTGAGGAAAATATGACATTGTTTCTGAATTATTATTATTATTACTGTGGTCATTTTGTTTGTTGCGCTGTGGTCTAAACCACTGAGCCTCTTGGGCTTGCCGATCGGAAGGTATGGGGTTTGAATCCGCATGATGGGGTGAGCTCCCATTGCTCTGTCCCAGCTTCTGCCAGCCTAGCAGTTCAAAAGCACACCAGTGCAAGTAGATAAATATTTACTGCTGTGGCGGGAAGGTAAACGGCGTTTCCCTGTTCTCTGGCACTTGTCACAGTGTTTTGTTGTGCCAGAAACAGTTTAGTCATGTTGGCCACATGACCAGGAAAGCTGTATGTGGACAAACGCCAGCTCCCTTGGCCTGAAGGAGAGATGAGCTCCACAACCCCATAGTCGCCTTTGACTGGACTTAACCATCCAGGGATCCTTTACCTTACCTTTTTACCTTATTGTTGAAAGTTGTGATTGTGGCAACTTTTTAGGGAGGCCATAATGCTTTCTCTATGGGAAGTGCTAATGTAATTTTTTATATTCTGATTTGATTCCCTGTTGGTATTTTTCTATCTGAAGAACTAGAGGACCCTAAATCAACAAAATTATATCTTCTGAATAAGATACTAACTGAAAAAGATAGCATTGCACAAAGGAATAGCCGTTCATTTTTTAGGATTACGGCAACAAAATTCAGCTTTAAATTTTGTTTAGCAATTATAATGATTTATAAGAAAAAAAGAGGGAGTGGGGGTGTTTTTTGTTGAAGTCTTAACAACACAGTGCTAAAAATCAAGGGGGGAAACAGGGTGTTTTAAGAGCTGAAATCACTGTTGCCAGCAAGCCTCAAATTCCTAAGATAGTAAACAACTGAGGCAGAGTAACAATAATTAATACCTTCTGACTCCTAGGTGGAAGAACAAACTTGATTTTTGTTTGTGGTAGAAATTGGGAAACATCTTTTCTGCATGTGGCTAATTATGTCATCCTGCCTCTGCAAACTCCATATTCTCCATTCCCTCCTAGATTCACCCTTGTAGGTTAACATAGCAATTTTGCCTCCTGTGCTTTCATTTCAACAGAAATGAAACCATTTAAAACAGTTAAATATTTGCCATCCTCAGTTGTGCTGCCTTGGACTAGACTAGAGCAAAAAATCTGGAGGGCTCAGAATTACAGAGGCTGACAGTGAGGAGCAAAGAATTAGGGAGTGTTAAGATGTGGATGAGGTGGGGGCTTTACAGGCTGCCATTTTCTTTGTTTGGTCCCAGCTGCTGCACTTGGTATATGATATAAGAATGTGTTTTGCTTTGGGGTGAATGGGTTACACTTGTTATCTGTGTCTTGCCTGATTCCAGCTATTATAGTTATCTTTCTTATCAGGTCACCGAAAAATGGGGCTGGGCTAAACTTGGTCTTTTCTCATTCCTTCATTTGACAAATCAAGTAAAAGTGCAAAACCTCATTTAAACTTCTTACTGACCGAGGTGCCTGTGTGAATGGACACTGCTTTTATTAAATTATACCTTTTAAGCAATCAACATATCTCCAATAGGGGCTATTTCATTATGGCTTTTCCCTGTATATTCCAGTCATTGATTGATATTGAAATTTTAAATTGTGTGTTCCTTGTCCTGAGACCTGAGAATTGAGCTGAATGTAAATATAATAGGAACTGTGTTACCACATCTTTAGAGCACTTGTATCGTTTGACATTTATTAGAATTCTGCTTGTAAATGATGTATTCTTTGTTACAGAGGAAATACCATTGTTTGTGTATAGTCAGAGATAAGAAAATAACTGTTAATCATGGCTGAGCTGTCGCCTGATGAAATTCAACTGAGAGCCCATCAAGTTACAGATGAGGTAATTATATTAGATTATTCTCTTTCTCCTGTGCTTGTGTAGTGGAAAGCAGACCTCACATTAAAGAAAGCTATTTAGGATGCACAAAGCCCTATCATAGTAAATGAGATTTGCTGTCCAAAATGGTTTCTGTACCACTGAAGAAAAAACCTCTCTCAATACGTCAAGCTTTTAATTTAGAAAACAAAAATACTGTTTTCAGAATATTGCTATTTGAAATGAACAATATAACCGAGTAGGATCTATTTGGATTCAGGAATATAACATCATGCTCAGTTACATGAAACTCTGTATATAGTGTGATTACTAAATGTCTTTATAAGTCCATATGGCTGAAGATAGATCTCTTTTTTGTTTTAGTCTTTGGAAAGCACAAGGAGAATTCTTGGCCTGGCCATTGAGGTAAGGAAAAGCTTTTGCGGGAGTGAGGGATGAGGAAGAACAAATCAAATTGTTTGAGAGCAGTTCATTCCTGCAGTTCTGTTCCCAGCTGTTGCTATTTTTAAAGCATGTGGGTGCCATTATGAGGCATGTGTAGATGATGACTATGGGTGGAACAGCTTTGAACTTTAAATATTTGCATTGCTGCTGTATTTAGGGTTCAAATTCAAAATAAATTAGCTGTCAGATACTTGCATCTGAATTGCTCATCTTCTGCAAGATTCTGAACATACTTTTACAAAAAATGGACTTCCTTGAGGTTTACATGGTACTAATGCAAATAGTGTACTCTTCACTAGAAACTCTGTAGAATGGCCTGTTGTAGTACAAACTTGTGTCCAATTCTAGCATTAGATTTTGCTGGTTTTGTATCTCCTATCATTTTTTTTCTTCCTTACAGTCCCAAGATACAGGAATCAAAACCCTCACCATGCTAGATGAACAAGGGGGTGAGTTGTGCATGTGTAATAATAGATAGATAGATAGAGCGAGTGATGGCTCTTACATTGACTTGCTCAATATGATCTTTGTTGGTTTCAGCCTGAAATACAAAACATAGCGTAAGACTGCTACTAAACTAGAAAGATGGAAAAAAGCTGTTTATATCATGTTGTGAATCAACCATTTCTTCAAGAGCTGGATTAGAATAAGTTTGTTTGGTAGTATTATGGCTCGGGTTATCTAAAATATATTGCGTGCAGCATGCAGTATTTTTTTACTTCAGTTTTGAGACCTGAGGCATATGAATATTGTTTGTTTGTTTGTTTGTTTGTTTGTTTGTTTACCCGCCCTTCAGCTTAAGATCCCGGGATGAGTTGCAACCTTAAAACACAACATTAAAAACAGTTTAAAACAAATTACAATAATAAAAAATAAGGTGCGTTCTAAAACTATGCACCTCAAGTGTCAAAAGCCAGGGTAAACAGGTGTGTCTTCAGCATCCTCCGGAAGCTGTATAATGAAGGTGCCAGATGCACCTCTGGGGAGGAAGTTCCACAGCTTAGGGGCCTCCACAGAGAATGCCCTCTCTTGCTCCCCCACCCCAAACCTCTGAGGGTGAAGGAACTACCGAGAGGGCCCCCTCTGCTGAACCCAGGATCCGAGAGTGTCTGTAGGGAAGAAGGCGGTCTTTCAGATATTTGGGGCCTGAGTCCACCCAGGTGTGGATACTAGTGTGATTCACTTGCATATTATTGGTATTCAAAAAAGTTTCTCTTGCAACTCCAAAATTACTTTTTAATGCATTTCCTCGGGGTTTTTTTTTTTTAAAGAAGCATTTTGAACACAAACCATTAAAGTTCTCATCTGAAGATCAAGCATCTTGTAGCATTTAAGTTCTCTAAAATTCCTTTTTCTTTATACTTTTCTTAGAACAGTTAACCCGTATAGAAGAAGGAATGGACCAGATAAACAAAGACATGAGAGAAGCTGAGAAGAACTTGACAGAGCTCAACAAGTGTTGTGGTCTCTGTGTCTGTCCTTGCAATAGGTCAGTTAAAGGCAGGTTGATGAATTCCAAAATTCAAGGCGAAAAATTGAGGCCATTGAGAAATGCTCAGAATATCAAGATTGGGAGTTTTTTTTAACTGGTGTGCTTTAGACTATTTTCCCAAGTTTAAGTGGAAGTTCTAAATTTTTAAGTAGTACAAATTCCTTGAACCTGATTATGTGTAAGGGCAAAAGAAAAGGTAACAATAAACGCTTGGATGACCTTAGTTACCACTATTGAATGTTTTGCGTATATATTGCTCAGTGCCAGTATTGTTTGTTACTGTTAAAATAATACCTGGTTGGTATGGTTAAGGTACAGATTTCACACAAACACAGAGTAGGTTGTCTAGAAGCAAGGAATATTTGGAAATGCTTTGAGAGCTTGGCAGGCAGGAGTATGATATACATTCTAAATACCTATTTTCTTCTTCCTTTTGCTATCACATTCTAACTCCTTTTTCCTGGAGAGTGCTTAGCTTGTTTGAGGGCTTTTGTGATAGTTCTAAATATTCTTATTTTGACGTATGTACATTTGAGAGATCTTTATGGAATCTATTTCAGTTTGCTTAAGTAGAGGAAGAGGGACAATATAACCTTCTTCTAGTAATTTTGGGATGGTCTGGCCTTAACACAAGTAGTGAATACAGCACTCACAGAATTAAGTTTCAGTACTAACCCCACTTACATGGAAGTGACCCCCATTGAATTTAGTAGGATCTTCTTCTGAGTAGACGAGGGTTGCAGTCTTAATCGTTTTTTCCTTTTCCCTGTGTTAGGGTTAAGCTGCTTTCCCCCCCTAAACACAAACGTAATCTCAGCTGTACTTTTGAAATAGTTTGTTTGCTAACAACTATTTATCTGTTTGCTGGTCTTACTGCTCACTCTTTTCTCATTCTCTCTCCTAACCACCCACTTTTCCTTGCTTAATAAAATGAAGATTAGCAGCAGAGGTTGGATTCGCTTAACTGGTCAAAGTGGACTTTAGAAAAAGGTCAATCTTATGAAGCAGCCTGTACTGTTAACCAGCTGCCTGAAGGTGATGTTCTAACTGGGTGCATATATGCATGTGCATGCTGTCTTAACACGCAAGCTATTTTGTGATGGTCCGTAGTTGTGTTTGCATCTGTGTTATGTCGCTTATAGATTGTGTTTAAACTATTTGGTCTGGCCTCATAAACCTGAAATAGTCTTCTAGGATGATACTGTTGGATTTTGGATTTTGTTTTGGGGAAAATGGTGGATTGTATACAGTGGGGAAAATGTTGGAGGAATATTGTGAAATGACACTAAAAGCTAACAGTGGGGGTTTTCTAGTCACCGTTAGCTCACTGCATTTGTTTTTAGAAATTATTTCCCATATATCTATACCAGGGACGGGGAACCTATAGCTCTCCAGATATTGTTGGACTCCAGTTCCTATCATGCTTGAGTGCTGACTGAGACTCATGGGAGTTGGGAGTCCAAGAACATCTGGAGGACCACAGATTCCCAATCCCTCATGTAGTCTATTCCGTGAATCATGATCTTACATACAACTTGTTAAAAACTCTAGTGATGATTTGAATTTGGTCATACAATATTAGAATTCTGAACTACGTACTGATACTCTATTCATCTGTTCCAAAAATATAATGCTGGGAGATTGTACATTATTTCTTCTTAAACACGCATTGTAGTCCTATATCTTAGACTGTAATTTGGTTGATTTTCTTTAACATAGCAGCCATTAGTAGCAACAAGGAGGCTGAGGAGTAAGAAAACAGTTCGGATACCAAAGCAGTTCAAGATTTAAATATAACATACAAACTTTAGAAAAATAAAATGGTTGTGTTTATTTTTGTATAAGGTTGCTTCCAGTGTGAAGTTATATGTCTTAAATTCACTTGCTATATGACATTTTTGGTGCACACACAAAGCTCAGTGCAAATGTAAAGAATGTGTATTTGAAAACATGAACACACATCAGGAAGTCAGGATTGGTTGGGTCTCGCTATGGCATTTTCTGTGGCAAACCTGGGGCTATTACTCTGTCATGTATGAAACCATCCTTTCTATTACTAGTTATATTGCACATTAGGTTTGTTAAAACTTTGTATCTTTGATGTAATAATGTGCGTTCTGACTCTTCTTGTAGAACAAAGAATTTTGAGACTAGCAGAGCTTACAAGACAACATGGGGTGATGGTATAGAGAATGATCGTGTAGTGTCTAAACAACCAGGGCGTGTTGCAAACAATCTGCAACAAAATTCAGGAGGAACAACATCTGGAGGCTACATAAAACGGTAAGATACATCTCCTGCCCACTCCTGAATATTTATAGGACTAAATGCTTTTTTCTGCAATAGTAGTGACTGCATTTTGTAAGCTTAAGGACAAACCTTTTGGCCTGGTCCACACAATCAAATTTTTGCTTCATTAGCCAGGATATACATAAGCTCCATGCAGTTGCACACAGCTGCCGTGCTCCCGATTCACTTTTCCCTTTGTGTGAGTGGGGGAAACAAGCCAAGAAGCCATAGTTAACCACAGCATCTCATTACTTTTGAAGCAGGAACTATGGTTAATGAATTCCAAACAATTCAGAATATGAAGTCATGTTTTAAAGCTGACTTGTGAATCCTGGCTTGACTGGAAGCCATTAATCACCCAATTTATAACTAGAAGCTGTGGTTAACTACCATTTCTGGAATCTTTTCTACTTTGCACCAAGGGGCTTTCCACAGGTTTACAGAGCTGCTGATTTGATCATTCAAACATGGCTATTCTGTGTAATTCATGAGATCATTCTCAGACACTTCTAGTAGATCTATAGTGTCTCTAGGTGATTATATCACTTTCTGATTCAATTTTTCAAACAAACTTGCGTAGAAACCTCCATGGCAGAAAATACTTCTGAAAACTTGGGATGCGATAACATTCGGGAGACAGGAACTTGGGATTTCTCAATGTTGGTTTCCCTTGATACTTTCAACAGGATAACAAATGATGACAGAGAAGATGAAATGGAAGAAAACCTAACTCAAGTTGGAAACATATTGGGGAACCTGAAAAATATGGCCGTGGAGATGGGCAACACAATTGATACACAAAACCAGCAGATAGATCAGATAAACATTAAGGTAAGAAACAAAGAATTCAACTATTGATGTCTTAATGTTGGTAAATCTAGTGTCCAGGTGAACAAGTTAATAAGTCTTCAAGGCCACAGTGCTAAGCTGTAGCCAGATACACTGTGTACTTTTGTTATATTTGTTGTTGTTTTAGTTTTCTACACACCACTTAAATATATTTTTATATATTGTGATAGAGAAGTGGTCTAAACAAAAACACATTCCAATTTAGCAACAGGCTATAGCCGTTTAGCATGCATGAGTTAATATCCTTGTACCCAGATGATGGGTCCTGCAGCTAGATAGGATTAAACCTGATCTCATGGCAAACTCTCCTGGTTGTGGTCCTTACATATAGAAACAGTGATTATCTCAGAATTCTTGTCCCACTGTTCTGGATTCTTTTGTAGCACTCGGTGTAGAAAATTATGATAAACATTATATTGATAGGCTGAGATATAATATTCCACATGCCTTAGATTTTTAATCCCAATGTTAAGCAGCAACAAAAATAAGACAACTGAAAGCAAGGTACATTTTCGAGAAATCATGGAAAGGAACCTCTGTTCAACTCTGTGCTGGAATTGTTTTGGTTTGTTTTTTTACCAGTTTTTACATTAATGAGAGATAAATGCACAAATCAGAGCTACCATAGTTATTTAGGAACATGATATAAGACCTGGAAAACCTTGATACAGATCTCCTGAGTTATGAATACAATTAAGTGACTGTGGTTTATACAAAAGAATACAGCACTATTTCCCTGCCTTGGCTTCTCCCATGCTCCCAGTAATAGGGGTGTGAGAATACTGGCCTACTTTACTTAGCTGAAGATTGCTCTTTATTATATATGTGTGCTACATATTTCCTAATAATTTGATTATATCACAATTACTGCCACTAAACAGTTAACTGAATAGGAAGGTTTAGCTGCTTTTGGAAAACACTCTGGCGTAGTTTGGGTTGGACTTCCTTGAAGCAGGGTGTGCCAAATATGGAGAGTGGTCCCAAGATTGTCTCCCATCATGGTTTTGCTGTTCTTAACATACAGCAGATCATGGAGAAGGAAGTTGGCTCAGATACGTAAGGCCCAACCCCTTTAGGTCTTCGCATTGATGAAAATGAGTACATTGAATTTTGCTCTTCTAGAACACTTCTAGAAGCCAGCTTAAATCCTAAACTGCTGGTGTAATAGTCAGCCAGTGGCCAGTACACCCAGGATCCAAAGCATTTCTTCCAGTACTTTAAGCATATCTTCATTGGTAGGTGGTATTTGCTCTAAATTCTGAATGAGTTGCAGGAGTGAAAGGCTTTTCTGCTCAGATGGCTTCAAGCACCACTTAACTACTGACTCACCATAATATCAATCTTATTCTGAGCCAGCTCCTGAAGAATTGGTTGAATCACAGTATGATATAGTTTGTTTTCATCTTTCTAGTTTAGTTAGCAGTCTTATGCTATATTTTGTATTCCAGGCTGAAACCAACAAAGATCGTATTGAGCAAGCCAATGTAAAAGCCAAAAAACTAATTGAAAATTAGCAGCCTGCTTCCAATTCTTTATCCAACTGAAGACGTCCATTTTAGTCTACAAACCTCAATTTCCAAAGAAGAAAGATGGCAGGATTCAGAAGAGGGAACAAAGCAGGACATGCATCATATGGCTTCTTTTGTTGCTTGTATACAGACTCGGTTTGAGAATCCAGGAAAATAGCACAACAGAGACTTGGCTTTCTTACTCTTTTTAATATATCCTCAGGGTTTCGTTTTCTGGCTTCAAATATTTCCATGGGTACCTTCTCCCCCTTTTGCAGTAAGATGTGTGAGTGTGAGGCAACTGAGCAAAGGCAGAAGAGGATGCATTCAGTGAATGTCATTACCTCACTCAATATTTCATGTCATCACTAAAACGGTGGATGAGTAATTTTCATGAACTTTGTCTTAAAGCTGACCTTAGTTTACAAAACACATAGATTTCATGGTCAAACCATACATGATGGGGGGGTGCATTTTATATTCTTATAATTGGAATATGTGGTTCAGCAACTACTACTTTTGAGAATGGGGCTTTAAAACACATCATTGTTGGCATTCAAGATATATATATATAGGAGAGAAGTACATTTTCTGAGCCATAGCAATTCTCATTTGGATAACAAGGGGATGAGTAGTCCAGCTACACACAAAACCCCCTGTATAGTTGGACATGGGACTCTCACAAAACTTTTAGGAGTTTATCCCCCATTTTATTTCGGAAAAACTGGGTGTTTGTCACCAATCCTACTAGTTATTGCTCTACCCAGACATACTTTCTGGTGGCCGAAGGACCTAGGAGAGGTGAAAGGGCTTACACAGCACCTAATGATCAACTCAGGATTCCAAGCAAAACACTTCCAGGTGAAGAGCTCTGTTGCAGATTATTGTATGAGTTGCCAGAAAACATCTTTTCCTTTTCTTGGTAAATGCTGCATATTTGGATGCTGGTACTGCTGAAAAGAGATTTTGATCTGCAAAATGTTCCATCAAAAAGCAACGTTTGGAAAGTTACACAGAGCTTAAGGTTGAGTGAAAACTATTTTGTAATGCTGTTTCCTAAATAAATTCATCCTTCCCTACACAAACTATGAATCTAGTTGTGTACCAAAAAGCCAACATCTGGAGACCAGCATCTTGAGATATTTATTCGGAGCAAAACACTTACAGGATTTCTAGAGATACATCCAAAGCAGGGCACAATCTAGTTTCCAATGAGAACAAAAGCTATGTTTGTTACAGTGAGTTCGCATCTGCTGTGGCTTGATAAAACTCCATTCTTTAAATTGTTTTGAATTGACTACAGTTGTGTGCTCACTTGGTTTTCTTCAGCAACTCATTACAAAATAGTTGTCTCGTCTTTTAGTTGGAACCATATGCGTATTCAAGCTTCAAACCTGTACTGAAATACAGTATGTGAAAGACTGAAGTCAGTATTGAAACATAGCTTTGCTGCTTCTATCTTTCTTATCATGAGACTGAACTTGTGTTTATTTTACAAACTTTAAAGTTGTGGCTTGGCTGTAGGTTATGCCTGCTCTACAAATTGTGATCCCTCAAGCTTGAATGTACACCATCAACTATGTGTTGTGCCTTGCTAGGCCCTTGTGAACTAAGCCTTTTATGTAATCCTGAAGCAGGTAGCAAAGCTTGGAGCCCATGAGGAACTGCCATTCATGGCTTCTAGACTACATTTAATTTGATGGGTTGCAAGTTGTGCAGGCCTTCTGTAGTGAGTACTTAGCATATAACCTTCAGTTCATTTCTGTTTCAGGATGAAGGTGCTTGATTTAGCTTTCTTATAGGACTGGTTCAATGAAAAATGTTACAATTCCAAGGATTCTCAAGAAAGTTTTAGTTCACTCTTCTAATTAAGAGTTCACCAAACAGCATTGGAATCATTTTGTTTTCTAAAGAGATATGGACTTAGTGCTTTGTGCTGCTATATGTTTAAACTGAGTATTTTTTATCATATGTAAAAATTATAAACTGATCATAATTTGAGGGTAGAGCGTAGCTCGCAACCCTTCCATAGAAGAAAAAAAATAGTTCATGTAGACGGTTTCTGAGTGCTTTTTCTTTCTAAAAAGACTGCCCAGTAAATAGCAGTGCCTTGTGGTGGTTGCTGCAGTAGTCTTTTAAGTCTTGCCAGACAAGAGCTTAAAACAAATTGGCTCATTGTATTGTCACTTCCCATAGATGACAAGAGGATACCTCATTTTTCTGCCAATCTGCATATCAATTCCAACTGAGCCATAATTTTTTATAATAAGACAAAGCTCAGTCTTCCATGTAACCTTCTGTCAATAAGGGCGAGGTGGTAATTCTAGCTGTGTAGGGTAGAAACTGCGCACATCACTGTCGGTTTGTTTACTTGTATTAGTAATAGTGAAACATACAATCCTCAAAGCTGGAAATGGCAGTTCGCACACTAAACCTTACTAGTCTATGGAAATAAAACGGTGAACGTTCAAGTGCTATAATAACTGTTACTGTTAATTTCAGATTTACCAGGCTACCATCACAGATGAAGTAAAAATGTGGCTGTCTAATGCACATGTGTTCACTAACCTCTGTGGAAACTCTACAGCAGTGTGAAAAAGTACTTGGATGTGGATAGCATAATTTCTTGTGTTATAATTCTTAAATAGCTTTTAACTGCATAGTGCTCTACATCAAACTATACCTTATTTTCTGCTTTCTAGATTGCCCATTTTAAGCTGTAATTAAGCGAATGCCTCAGGTTTCTACTTGCTGGACTGAATAAATTAACTTATGGTTGCCTGCATTGCCTGTCTCCTTCAAAAACACATGTAATGCTAACTAGCATTGAAAATCGAACTTGGTACTACCTTGTTGCCTACTTTAGAGAGAATAAGCTACATGTGATTTTCTCATCTGAGAACTCATCAAAACTGACTTCCACTGAATGCTTTTTTGCTGCTGCTGTGGCAACCGTTTCTAAAAACAACCTATATTTTATGTGGCAGAAGAGGAAGTATAGATGCTTTCAAGTATTAGGAGAAACTCAAGCCTCAGATATTCTCCTTTCCATATATTTGTGTCGTAGCATAACCCCTGAAGTTTGTCAAGTTTCTGAGGAATTTAGTGTCACACTGGCTGTGTACAATTCTTTAGTTTTGTGGGGGTGGCTTAATCTTGCCAGAACTCTCCCAAGTAGCTGTTCTTCCCAAAATGGAACAGTTGATCCATATAGTCTTGTTTAGTAAAATCTTTTCTCCTGCATACTTGTTTGATCCCTACTCCTCACTGGCTAGTAGAAGATAAACATGGTGGGGGAAGGGGGAGAATATACGCTTAATGTGCATAAAGGTTCTCAAATCAGGTTTTCTTAGCATTGCATAATAAGGGTGAGTGGTAAGGTACCTGATAAGGTTAGCCTTAACAAATACATCTGCCCAACTTTGCACTCAAATTTTGGTACATATGATAAGAGCACTCATCGTCTGATTTTGCAGTCATTTTATATCACTTTCTGGATCTTTACAACAACTATGTGAAGTAGGTTAGCTGAGAGTTAGTGACTGACCCAAGGTAGGAAACAAAAACAATCAGTGAAGTGAGCTTAACATGTGAAACAGCACATTCTCAGAGTACTTTTGCAACACCACTTGGGTTTTCAAATGGCAACTTCCAAGTCACACGCATCTCCCTGAAATTTAGACTCAACAGATGTGTTTTTTGTACTACATGGAACTGTATATGCAAGAACTGGGGGTGGGAGGCAAGAGTACAGTCATACCTTGGGTTGCAAACATGATCTGTGCGGGAGGCACATTCGCAACCCGCAGCGCTGCGTCTGCGCACATGCATGATGTCATACTTCCAGGTTCGGTACGGTTCACAACTCAAAAACGCATAACCCAAGGTATGACTGTATATGGGTATAGGTATGACTTAGACTGTATTCTTTACACAGCCTTTAAACTCAAACTATGAACTCCTTCCCCAGCAATTAAATCCAAGTTACCCAAAAAAAAAAGACTATATGTTGTTCCTTCAATCACACCCAAAGCAGCCACCAGTAGCGACAGGCATGCATATTGATCTTCACAGCCACACACTATATAGAAAGATAAATTATACTGTACTGCTTTTTTTCCTAGGTATTTTATTTTAAATAGTTTATAAGGAGCAATGTATTTTACAGGAACAATTTTAGCTGTGCATATTTATTCTTTACTATTCAGATTACATGATGTGAATTTATATATTAACTGAAGTTTGTCAAAAGGTGCCAAAAAGCTTAAGACAGTTGTGGATGCAATATCTTTTTAATAAAAATATACAAGTTATTCAAGAAAGTTGCATATCTTAGGTCCTCCTGGGTGCTTTGTATAAGGCAGTAATAAGGTGATCATCCCCTTTAAGCAGTTGAGTTTGCTCCTGCCATGAACACAGAGTGCAAAGATGTCAGCTCCCTCCCCCCTCAAATACAGTGTAGACATTATGAACCTGTATTTCATTCGTTTAGCATGCTCAGGTGAACTAGAGGGCATTACACCATCAAATGGAAGACAAGCCATTCAAGGGGAGATGAGCATGAGATGAAGCTAGGACAACTATTTTTGATTAGACATATTGAGCTACTATCAGCCCAATTACTTGTGCTTTCAAATGTACATGATTTTTATTTATTTTTAAAAAATATCAGTCTCCTCTACACTATAAAACATTTAATGCAAAGAGATGACTTTGCATTCTAGAGTTAATCCTGTTACAGAACCTCAGTGTACTCCTTGGCAAATGTTCCCCTTAGTGTTATCTCCATGTACTCCGTACTTTATATAAGGCTGCCAACATCTGTAATAAAACCTCTGCAGCCCAAGTGAGTTCTACAACATTTTTCTTCTTACAACATAATGATCCCTGAAGATGGAGAATCACATAAGCAGAAGTGCCTTGTTAGCTGCAAAGGTGGAAAGCGTAACGTACAAGATAATTTCACCAATTCCTGGTTTCACTTTGTGGCCTTAAAAACAACATATTCAACCAGTTCAAAGTTCTCTTGCAGTTAAAGCCTTGAATTTCCTTCTCCTGAAAAGACTTAGCAGCATATAAGCTATGTGCATCACACCTCTTGTCTCTCCTTCATGAAATAAGACCGGTCGCAATCCATCAGGCAAATTTTTTCTTCGTGGCTGTGAATCTCTCCATGTACTTAAAAAAAAAAGATGATAAAATTAGGAATTTGGGTGGAATAAATACAAGATAAAGGAAGATAAATGAGAGATCCTCAAGAATGTTTCCTATCCAGCAGTTTCTTATACTGAACTAATTCAAGATCATGGGTTGTAGCCAGTGTTCATCAGAGCAGGCCAACTGATACTAATTGACATGACTAACTTTGGTCTCTTCAGTTGGGTCTACTCAGAAAAATAACTGATTAGCTACAAACTCATGTTCTGTGCTGGACAAATGAATTAGAAAATTTTAAAGTAAAATAGCATTAAGTAATTGATTGAAACAACTCTCTTCAAATTCAGAACAGAATTGTAATATTCCTAACTGAATGTAACTGAACAATGCTACTATCTGACAGAAGTCTTGGAAGTAGGAGAGATTAGGATTCAATGAAGGACAAGATGCTAGTCAAACATTTCCCCCTGATTTCATTCACCAATGGAAGCCTTATTTTCCCCCAAGCCTATTGGTTTACAGCAGGGTGAGGGAGGGGAGAGAATAGTACAGACCTTGTCATATCCATCCAATTCTCGAAGTTTCTTGATTTCAAAGAGATTGCCCTCTACAGCAAGCAGAGAGATCTGAGAATCGCTGAGAATACTCTGAGGAAGCATGCTTAGTTCTAAACAGTTTTCTTCCAGACGCAGGACCTTGAGGCGTGGACAGTAAGATATCTGTGAGGAGATCTGGGAAATCTATCGTGAACCAAACAGGGAAAGGAAAAAAGTTATTGCTCTGCCACTGCTAAGTTGGAACATTCAGGACATATAAAAGAAATCCTATCTTCATGCAGCTCATAGTTAAAACTATGGAACTTGCTCTCACAGTAGGCAGTAATGGCCACTAACTTGGGTGACTTTAAGAGAGGATGGGACAAACTCATGGAGGATAAAGCTATCAATGGCTACTAGCCATGATTACAATGCTCAGCCTCAATAGTCAGAGGCAGGAATGCTCAAAATGCAGATACACAAAACTATTGGGGAATTGTCTGGGTAGCTAGGATGGACTCACTGCAGGAACTAGCACAGAGAGTTACAATTAAACATCCCAACACTGAGTCTGAGTACTTAGTTATGAACATCACAGGGCCATGAATTTTGTAGTTCCCCATTTCTAAGGTATCTCTATATTACCAATGCTGAGGGGATGGGCCTTGATCTGAAAACATCTGACTGAACATGATGGCTATGTTTGTCCATCCTGGCTAGCAGCAGTTCAGTGCTTTGGTGTGATCTTGTTAAAAAAAAAAGTTACAAAAATTTCAATGCATTTTAAGACATGCTTGCATAAAATTATGGTAATAGCACTGTCATTTCAGCTTGCACAATATGCAAATTCAAGCCCTATAATACCAACCAAAAAACAACAACTCCATAACTTCAAGCAATCTATTTTCCCTATAGAACTGCCTCCAATGGCGTGAACCGTGTTGTACAAACAGCTTTGTGTTCTTCTCCCTTCTCTTTCCTGCACCTTCCCCAAAAGCCTCTCTACAGAACATTGTGCGCTATGCTCTCTGTGTATGCGAAGGGGGACAGGAATCACCCAGGCTAGATTTCAGGTTATTTCCTCCCTCCTACTGTAGCTTCATCAAATATAGCATACAATATTCAATCAGTCCCCCTTCAACCCTCTAGAAAGGCTTTTTGGAGGCTACAGGGGGAAAGGAGGGGGAAACAGAAGGTTCAGCTGCATGAGCTGCCTTCCACTTGTGCAAGGTTTGAATGTAACTTCACTGGTGTATTGTTTTAATGGAATGGAATTAAGACTGGTTGAAGAAAGACATGATGTTCAAAGCATAAACGCTACAACGTTCTTCTCAACAAATGGAAAATTGTGTTACAAAATAGAGAATAACCTAGCAGGTTTCCCATAGGGGCAAACAAAACAAAAGGAATATGTTAAATTTTGCTTGCAGCTCTAAGTGAGATCCCCCATTTCAGTAGAAATTTAAGTGACGCTTGTGCTTTGAGAAGCTCTTTCCTCCTGAATGATATACAGCTACAAAAACTAGTTTCCAGACCTGGTTTTGATTCAAGTTTAGTTCAATGGCCTGCAAATCCCCAACTGTATCTGGCACACTCTGGATCTGATTTCTGGAGAGATCCACCACATCTAGGTGACGCAGGCTGCAGAGCTGGACAGGTACAGTTCGGAGCTTGTTTCCAGAAAGACTCAGGGTCTTTAGTGCCGAAAGTTGTCCAAAGGCAGCCGGTAACTGCGTCAGCTGGTTGCCATTCAGATGCAACGCCTCTAATTTTTTCAGCTTGCACAGCTCTTCAGGTAGTGCAGCTAGCAAAAATATATATATAAACAAATAAAATCAAGCTGTTCGGAGGAAAGAACAATTATAGTATAAAGGTCACTGTTGTGGAATCATACAGCACCCCATTGTGTTAGGATACAGTCAACATTTTATCTTACAATACATGAAGATATAGAATGGATAAGCTACAATTGCCCGAATTAGTGTGCAGGCTCTACCTTCTCTTTGGAACTCTAGCTGCTTGTGGAAAATGAAGGAGGAGAGGTAGGGCATGGTTAAAGGCAATTTTTCAAGTTAAGTGCTTGGTTCACAAGTCACGAGCATTTCAATAAGATGAGATAATTTTGAGTATCTTAGCAACCTGGAATCGCAATGGTGACAAAATCTGTTTTTGCAAGCTTTACAGCATCCTCTACTAAGCTGCAAAGCTTTTAACCAATGTATTGAGTTATCTCTATTACTTTGAAAGAAAATGATGGAATTAAACTTGTGGTAATGTAGGCTGCAATCCTAAATATATATTTTTCCTGTCACTAAGTCCCACTGAATTAATTTCAGCAAGCTGATGAGTTATTTAAGAAGTCTTACTCAGCTTGTTGTGATTTAAAGCAAGGCTCTTCAACACAGAGAATTTTCCCATTAGTGGTGGTAGGACCTCAATCTTATTGTTCGACAAATCTATTGTTCTGAGGTTACTTGCAAGCTTCTGCAGATCTTCAGGAAACTGAAAAAGCAATTCAGAAATCATGTGAAAATTCCAGAACGACACAAATTGCATTAAGTATATGTGGGTAGGTAAGATAATAAAAGGTGCAGGCAAGGAGCTTTTTAGGTTTATAAGGTTGCAGGACAGAATTACAAAACTATAAATGGTGTGAAAAGACTAGAGGGACAATTTAATTTGGGAATATCCTCCAAAATTGACAATTAAACTACATATTACACAAAATTTATCACAGTATGTCATGTCCACTATGATAGGTAGCATAAGCAATGCAAAATCTTATATGTTCCCATCCTATCTCACCTGAGCAGCAATGGTCTAAAGTTGTAATCCAAAACACATTTACTGGTGAATAAGCCTCACTAAACCCAATAGCTTTTATTTTTATAGCTAGGATAAGATACATTAATTAGAACCCATTCAACTGACATTTCTATGCTTCTTATCCCACTAACATATCAAAAATTGATTTCAAAAATTTAAAAACTCTTCAAAGCACAAATATTTCTCTCTGTCTCTTGCATTATGCAGTATAAAATCATTTGAGGCACATGTTTATGATATAGGTCTTTACCTCAGAAAGGCCTTTTCCCGTCAGCTGGAATACTCCTGTTTTCTGTGCTGTCTCCAAATGCGCTTTTAAGGCACTGTTTCCCATCCTCCTGCTCTTGTATCAGGTACTAACAGATGTGTGTAGCGCAAGTCCAGCTGAGTCACTTTCATTCACGCCACATTAGGCAACATAAGTTTATGTTCTATTAAAAGGTAAATTTATAACACGTATGATACAGGATTATCAAAGTCACTTTTTTCCCAGGAACGCAATCATTTTTACAAGCAAAGAAAAGCACTCGGGCCTATTTCTCCGGGGATAAGAAATCAAGCGTAAGTTGATGTGATCATCATGACATAGAGGTTGAGCTGGACAGTTAATGAAAAAGAACTATATGGAAATATGGGCATATGCAGTACGTAGGACAAAGATTTAGACAAAGACTGCAATACTGAATGTGTTTTAAGCTGTACTGAAAACAATTTGCTTCCAGGTCAGCATGCTGATGCTCGTAGTCCAAGAAGATTAAGGCTGCAATCCTACATGCACCTGTCTGGGAGTAAATCCCACTGAACTCAATGGGATGTATTTCTGAGTAGACATGGCCAGGTTTTTACTGTAATTTATTCGGCCTTGTAGAAAAAGCTCTACTAAGTAGGTTATGTAATCAGGCAGGCAGGCCCATCCAGTAACAAGCTTTATAATGTTAGAAGCCATGAGAGCTTATTTATAGTCTACCCTAGGCTCAGCATATGCAAACTAGGGAATAAGTCACATTCACAGGGGCTTACTTCTTGAGTATTAGATTTATTCATTGTTATTCACAAGAAAATGCCTCAAAGCAACTTACAAATCCATTAAGAACAAGACAGAATTGACAATTGTTAAAAAAAGCAAGTACACAGTAAAAAAACACAGTTTGGATATAGCTCAGGTTATCGAGGAGAAATCTTAACCACAAGTTCGGTTTCGGACAACATGTTAAGTCAAACTTTGGTTTAGCTAAGCAAAAAACCACTGGAGTAAAGTAGCTACAAGCTCCTCTCCCAGAGCCTGTGTGCTTGCACAGTCCAGGTAAGTCATAGTTAGCTTACCCTGTCATGTGAACAGGGCCACAAAGAAATACCAGCAGTCACGCAGGATGGTGGAAAGGTACTTGCACAACAGGTTCTAGCACATATCCCTCAACCAAGCTCACAAACTATTAAACTAATGAGCCAGCATAGAAAAATATTTCTTTGTAAACATAGTTTTGATATTTATTCCTGGAAATTCCAGATTATCAAGTGATGAGCAACAGAGATTAATATATTCACGTTCTTAAAGGATCAAAAGCATAGATGTTAGCAGAAGATACCATAAAATATTTAACCCCTCAATGGTTCCATTTTTTGCTTTCCTCAATCCCAACTAATCTACAGTACTGCAAACAAAGGCTGCAGATTTGAGCTCACATAATTGATTCAAGTTTAGGTTCCACGGCTATAGGAATCACAAAGGCCTATGGATTTTTAACTTCCCAGTGTCAACACTGTTTCTTTTCTGCACCACCCAAGTACCGGTATATGCATATAACAAAATCCTTATTCACTCAATAACAGTATTTAAACAATGTGTCTCAGTTCCCCTAAACCAGCTTTTGCCTGCTCTCCAAGCCGCCTCCTCACGCCTCTCAGTTGAAGCTGGGAAGAGAGGCTGTGGGTAGGTGAAGACAGTTCTGATCTAAATAAAGAGGACAAGATGAAACCCCGCTGCCCCATCTTCCTCCACCTCAGCTGGTGGAATTGAAAACAACAACTCTCTGCCTAACTTTTCACTTCCACATATGGCTATCAAACAATATGCCATCTCTATCCAGCAAAGAGGCTGTATCCATCGCAGGCGATGCTCAGAGTAAGCCCACTGAAATTAATAGACATGACTAACACTAATTTCAATGGGTCTACTCTGAGTACTTGGATACAACCCAGGCGGACTATGGGTGAAGAGGGGGAAACAAAGCCGCATATTTATCTAAGATGGGCGTTGTCCAAGTTGTCCTACGTTAGAGGGAAAGAGCCCAAGTTTATCTTTGCTCAGAGAAGTCAGCCACACTGAACTCAATGCGACTAGGCTGCAAGCTTCAGCATACTGGCTTGGGACAGAAACCATCGCATTCAAACAGGACTTACTTCCGAGTAAAAACGCATTGAAGTGGGCTGCCCAGATGCGCTGCCACACAGTTTAGCTGAGTTTTTACTTCCCAGCTGCAGCTACTTTTAGGTAAAGATGCACAGGCTATAAACGGAGGGGTCTCATCCCTGCCGCCCTAGTCCGATTTCCCTCCGAGGAAGGAGGACGGGAACCAGGGGCTTTCTCGGGAGAATGACCTAAGAGGTGGACAAGCACCTGAGCTTGTCTTACCTGTAACTACGGTCGCCGCCGCTTCGCATCCTAGCAACAAGCACACGCAGTACCAGAAACGCCAGCCGCACTGTTTTTAATCCCCCACGGCGAATCGCATGCCCCGGATGACAGCACAACCCCGTCGCCTAACGTGAATAATGGCGAAGCCTCTGCCCGGAATAAGCTTGAGGTGGAGGTTCTCCGGGGGTGGACATTACCCACACGGCCGGGTTCACTTCCGCCAACAATCAACATGGCGGAAAGGGCCACGAAGCCCAGGTGCCGTTGGGCTCCGCAGGGTATTTGGTCTCGCCGCAGCCCGGTACCGCTATAAGTAGGCGCCAGGGAGGGCTGCGTCGGGGTTGCGCCTCCTATGTCGCGGGTCCCCTCATTCCCAGCTACAAATATATATATATAAGTAACCCCTCGTCTAATGTGCCGGTGAGCCGCTTGCCCGCACTCGAGATGGCGGCGCGAGTTTGAAAGGAAGCGCGAGGAGGCGCTTCGCATTCGAAGGCGAGGCGCGCGAGAGAGTTTCCGCGCAGCGGCGGATGCTCGCCTCGCCATGGCTTCTTCGAATCCGTGGGCTCCTGTGCAGCCGTCGGCGGCTGGGCTGCTGCTGGCTGGCTGCCTGTCCGCGGGGGTGGTGTCCCAGGTGAGAGGGGCCGCGCTTTTTCTCCCTCCCCACGTTGTATAAATACACGTAACGCAAAACCATAGTCTGCAATGTGTTCGTTTCTGCCCAAACTTTGGGAACGTGCTGCTGCTCAGTTTATTAGATTCGATTGCAATGGGATGGAAAAGGCGTATTTGAAGCTGCCTGCTGCTTTTAAAAGATGCTGCTAATATCGATATGTTCATAGGCCGCAAAGTATGTTATGTTCTGACTGGCAACATTTCTCCAAGAAGTCAAGGGAGGCCCTTTTTGTAGCCTTCCTACCTGACACCTTTTGGAAACGTAGCTTTTTGTCCTTGTTCCTTTAATCCGGCTGTAACAGTGCTGGTGTGCTTGTGGTGTGTTTACTTTTGCTTAAAAGTACATCCAGGTGGTGGGCTTACTGTGAAAGAAACATGCTCATGATGGTAAAAAATATTAACTTCCACCCTAGTTGTAGTTTTATAGTTGTCAGTTCTTGTAGCTCTCTGGACCACCTGGATTGGATTCTATTCCTAAATGGACACGAAATATCTTCTTTTCCTTTCGTTTAGATCTTGCATCCTCAGGAAAACCCTGCATGGTTATTTAAATACTAAAAGGCCGATCCACTCCACTCTGCATAACTATGGATGGAGAATTCCCATAAGTTCAGTAGGGGGAAATGGGGTCTGTGCATGTGTAACCCTCGTTTTTAATTCCATAGAAGTGACTTTTGTTCCAGAGCACAAGCTGCATTATACTGAGTCAAATCATTTATGCATCTAGCTCAATATTGTCATCGCTGTCAGTGCGTCTCCATAGTTTCAGTCTGGGCTCCCTCCCAGCACTGTCTGGAGATGACAGGGATTGAACGTGGCATCTTCTGGGTCCACGCACAAAAGAGATGCTCCGCTACTGAGCCACTGCCCTTCCCCAAAGTGGAGGGAAAAGGCTTGACTGGAGGTATGGGCAAATACAGGCAACAACCAATTTACATGTGTCTGATGGAGGTGCAATTGCACATGTGTGTGTTGTTCTGAACCCATAAATGACCTGAAAACATCACTAAAACAGCAGAGTACTCAGGCCTTGCTGATGCGTGTTAGGGTCTGGAAGTCGGATGGATGTAATATGCTCAAACTGCCATGCCCCAGTGAGCAAGCTGGCTGCTGAATTCTGTACCAGTTGCACCATCTTTAGAGGCAGCCATATAACACGTTGCAGTAATCTAACCCAGAGGTTACCAGAGCATAAACAACAGTAGTTAGGCTATCCCTGTCCAGTTAGGGGTGCAGTTGAGCTACCAGCTAGAGCTTATGGAAGGCACTCTGCACCACTGAGGCCACCCTGAGCCTCAAGCAACACCAATGGATTCAGAAGTATCTCCAAGCTACGTATCTGCTCTTTCAGAGGAAGCGTAACCCCAATCGAGATCAGGCAACCTTCTACCAATCTGGTCTGGGAAACCACCCACAAATAGTGCCTCAGTTGTATCTGGATTGTTTGTTCAGTTTGTTGGCTCTCATCCAGTCCATTACTGAGGTAATACAACCTAATAAATACCCCTCATAAATGTAAGGGTGACAATTTCAGAAATGTGAACTGCTCCTCCACGCCACCTATCATTCATTTTCACTGGCTTGTCCTTCATTTCTCCAGGCAAAGACATTAGGATTGCAACCTAAATGTATTTAAGACCAGAACCCTAATTTCAAGGAAGCTTGAATTGCTTATGTTTATTGAGAATTTTCATGTTTCTGTTTTAGGAAACTCTGGGTAGATGTGGAAAACCAGCTCCTTGCTTTGTTCGCCTCTCGGAGGCAGAACAAATTGCTGATCTCCAAGCTGAAATCAGTGAGGTAAAATAATCTTTGAGCATCAGAATAGGAGCTCTACTGAATAGGCCATACATACAATTTCCTCTGAATTGTAATGAATGATTTCATAGTTCTGAAACAGTACTATAGGACAATAGAGTTGGAGAGGCTTTGCAGGCTATCTAGTCCAATGCATGAAATCCAGAGCTACAGTATCTCCACCAGACTGTCCAGCCTCTGCTTGAAGACCTCCACTGAGGGAGAGGCCACTGCCTCCTTATGTAATTTTCCTATTGTTGAACTGTTCTTACATTTAAGAGATTTCACCTAATATTCAGCTGAAACCAACCCTACTGTAACTTAGTTCTGCCCTTTGAAGCAGGAGATAACAACTATTTGCCCTCCTCACCCTTAATCATCTTCATTTCCCTCCTCTTCACCTCTTTTAATTTGTCTATATATCCTTCTTAAATTGTGGTGCCCAGAACTGGACAGTTTTTCAGATGGACAAGGTAAAGTGGAACTTAGAAACTGTGGTTTGCTTAATGCATCTTAAAGTTGCATTTGCGTCCTCCCTCCCTTTTTCTTTGGCCACTACACCACTAATTCATTTTAGCTCATGATCGTATGTACTACTGCCAAACCAGGTATCCCCTTACTATAACTCCGCATTTCTTTCTTTTTCTGTTTTGCCTGGTTTGAAAAGATAATGTTTTCTAAAATATATTTTTCACTTGGTAAGAAGCACTTCTTATCATGTGAACAATATATTTTGAAATAAATCCTATATATATATTTAGCCAGGACTCCCTCTCCCTCTTTGTTCTTTGGTGCCTCAGTTGAGGTTGAGAAGCTTGTCAAATTATCACACCTAATCCTCTTCTACAGAGATGTGATTTAGTGACATAGCCATGAAAATTGCATTAACTAGGAATTTAGCTTGTAATAGTTTCACCTAGAACAGATTCTGTGTTCTATGCAACTACAGAGTTTGGATGCTGGAAAGCAGAAGACAACTAGGAGACCTGGAAGTCTTACTAAAGCTGGAATTAAGGGATGATAAATTGAACTATTTTAAAAAAAGAAATTATGAGATTTTAGTTAAATGCATTAAAAAATAAGCTTCCGACAAATCTTATCGGAAATAAAATTATGTTGTGGTTCCTGCAAGCATAGAAGAATTACTTTTATAAAAGTACTTGAAAATGGTCAGGGTTGTTGGGGGTTTTAAAGCAGTTATGAATGCAACTGTGAATACATTAAACATACTGCATGGATATAAGTGTAACTATTTTAATGTGTATAGATGAAGCTAGATGCTGAAATCCTGCAGATGGAGAAAGATACAGCAGACATTACTCACCCATTCTACCTAAGTAAGTATTTTGTTTCATGCTATTGTTTAATCCCCAAAACAGCACTCCTAGAAGATCAATCTTAAGAGTTATTTAGACAAAGCCTTACATCTTCATCCTGCTGTAAGTATACTGGTGCCAGAGAGATTGGTTGAGTCACAAAGCTGCCATCTATGAACAAGATCCAGCATTGTGCCAGTGGACACAATGGGACCTACCTTTCTCTCCTCCCCTTTGCAGCCTGCTGCCGCCCCACATCTGGCCCACCAACCTTCCAAAACAAATTTTTGGGTGCATGGGAGGCTGCAGCAGGAGAGTAGAAGTCTGTCGAGGAAGTAGCATGCTTAACACACTTAGCAGGTGACGAAGCATCTAGCAGCCAAAGTGAAAAAGTTTGAACAGGAATGATCCCTGAAAAAGGAAGCAAGTAATTAGAGGTGTTTGTATGCATCAACTCCATAGATGCATTGCGCATATGCTGAAATGGGCATTTCATTCAGAATCCTGAGCATTTCATTTAAGACAGCTGTGAGCAACTTAAGCCAACCGTCCAAGCAATACACTATGAGGAAAGACAAAAACATATCCCTAGGTTGGGAAGCAATTTGGCTTGGCGGCAGGTGGCACACCATCCTGATACCACTTCAGTGATGAGTAGTTAGGCATGTTGCATGAGGAAAATCCATACACCAGGGGGTAGGGAACTGGATCTGGCCAGTGGGGTGGATCCTAGGTTCTTCCACCTTGAGTGCAGGCAGTGTAGCATTTTGACAGGTTATTGGTTCAAACCACTCTAGAAAGGAAAATCCAAGAGAGGTTGAAGTTACTGCCAGTCAGCTGTTTGGTGCAGACTGACTCCAAGCTCTGCTTTCTGTTGTGGTCATCTGCTACGGAGTTCCCCATGGGGAGCTCTGTAGCACAGCTGATTCCAGCTTGTTTGTGTGAATCAGGCTACCTTGCCAATACACAACCAGGAGCACATTTTAGAGTTCCCAATTGTGCATAGACAGCTGTGTGTCCCTCACCCAATGTCACATATGATGTTGGACAGGCTTCCTCAACCTTAGCCCTCCAGATGTTTTTGGCCTACAACTCCCATGTTCCCTAGCTAGCAGGACCAGTGGTCAGGGATTATGGGAGTTGTAGTCTCAAACACGTCTGGAGGGCAGAGGTTGGGTATGAAGCAGGTTGGTATGGTTTCAGGGAAACAGATTTAATGGGCCAGACTGACACCTGAGGTGGGCCTAATTAGAGGTTTGCCATACCTGCCATACATGGACGCCATTCCCCCCAAACCCAAAACTCTTTATTCCATGCAAGCTACTAAACATTGCATCCATAACCATGACAATCCTACATGTATTGGGTGAAGGCGGAAAGTCCCAAGATCTTGGGAAAAGGCTCACAAAGGCTACCATTGTTGACTGAAATGAGCAGAACCAAGAATAATTTAAAAAAATTAAATGTAAGATGTTCTTCACAGGTGTACGTTTGAAACACTAAGGCTGTAATCCTGTACATATTTACATGGGGACAGGTCCCATTGAACACAGTGGACAGAATCGCCCTGCATTAATAGAAAGTAGAGTACACATATATTAGCACTGGAGGGAAAGATTGAGAATGGTGGACAAATGACCCTTTTCACCAGTTTGTCTGCTGTTACTTGTCCTGTTATCAAGGGTACACAGCATTCCCTAGGATATACTTAGAAACCTGTGGTCTTTATTTCTCAGCAGCTGCTGCTTGCTTCCATGGGGGTCTCTTGATGTGATTCACCTTGCAGGTGCTCTATAAGGCCACACAATTTTGTTAGACAATCACAGATTCACACAGCATGCTACCAGTGTTTTGGAAGCCTGTGTTTCAAAGCATAAAATTATGTTTTACAAAGAACCTGCTCTCACTTCAATTCATGTTTAAATCTGAAAGTTTTCCATTTTTTAAAAAAAACAAATCTGTAGCTCAGAAATGCCAGGCTCTGCAAGCGATGAACAAACACCTAGAAGCAGTGCTGAAAGAGAAATGGGTTCTTAGGCAGAGGCTAATGAAACCAGTGCGTCAAGAAAGTCTGCCTATTGAAGCTATGTACCACAGGTAACAAACTGCTTTGTTATTTTACTTACATGTTGGGTACTCCTCATTTCTTTTCCAGATCAATAAAATACATTGGGAACAAAATCCAATTACAGTTAAAACTGCAAATGATGATGCTAAACCTTTTTTTAAAAAACAAGTTACTGCAGAACTCTAAACAGCCACAATCAGTTGACTTCTGCTACCAAATAACATCCTTTATTTCAATTTTCATCAAAGGTACACTTCAGACATATATTCGGTGTATCACAAATGCATTTTATTTTAACCATAGTCACTAACATTCTTACAAGACACACAATCCTTACTTTATTCATTACATTTTTCTTTTTCCTTTGTTTCCTGAGAAGTTCCTATTTTAAATCACCCTGTGGTATACACAGCCTGTTTTCTAAATCTACATTAGTCTGACAGCTAAATTATTCTAAATCATTTATCAGCTCAGTCCAATTCATATTAAGGCATTGTTTCTACTATAACATTAAAATAAATTTTCTAAATAGCTTTTGTGTTCTATTTTCCCTTCTTAATTCTCATCCATGTTCATTTAATGCATTTCATTAAGGACCAATAAAGATCAACCACTCAGCGATAGTAGGTGGCTGCTTTTTCCCAATATTGGGCTGTTCAAACATTTGCTGCCATTACTAAGTAATATATTGGTTCAGTGTCATTTGTCTGTATCTGTTTCCAGCACCATCAGTATAGAGTCAATTGAAATTTCTCTTCCTATTATCTCTTCTCGGGGGGCGGGTTTCCTGTTAGAAACCAAAACATAATAACAACAACAACAACAATAAATAAAATAAAAAAGAACAACAATCGTAACATGTGAATTATTGAGCAATCTCCCCTCCCCTTCAAATCCCCCAGATTATATTTACTCTTTTACAGTGCTAACAACTTGAAATATTCCTAGGTGATACATATATTTAGCCTCCATAGTGTGAAATATCACCTCACAAAGATATTATCATTTTCTGTTAAATTTTTCTTTTTCATGCAGGCATGTAGTAGAATTGTTGGTGTCGGCAGTGGCTTTCATTGAAAAACTAGAAACCCATCTAACCACAGTAAGGAGCATTCCTCAAATACCTCTAGTTATGAAAAACATGGTGAGTGGTCTGTCATATAACTTTTCCTAGTTTCCTTTGATAGTAAAGTAGTGGCTAAGAGCTTGGAAGTCTTAGGTGGAAGTCTCGAGTTTGAATCTCACCAGGCTATGGATTCCCTGGGTTGTCTCACTCAGAATGCTGGCTAATAGGCCTGTACCTGACATAAGGTATGTGAAGCACTGTAACTTCTGCTTCACTTCACACTAAGCTTCCCCTGCAATTAGAGAAACTGTGAATCTGTATCTCTGTCCTTGAAGAAAGGAGCTTCAATTGCTGAATCAATTGATCAGAAAGTTCAATTCCATCTATTTGAGTCTGAATAGTGACTGGTTTTCTGTCCTGCTACAGGTGTTAATTTCCCGTCAGTGCTAAGATGATTGTATTATCACTAATTATTGCAGTTGTGAAGGGTCACTCTAGTTATTCTGCATACTGTACAGTTGAACTGTACGGTTCCATTGGACTGTACTTTATTTTGCTTTTCATTGCCATTTAATTCCAACTTTTACATTTTTCCTTTATTTAACATCCCCTCATTAAAATAGTACCGAAGTGATGAACAACAAAGCAGTTAAATGCAAAACAATTCAGTATACGATAAAAACTATTTTAAAAAGCCAGCATATCACTGTTAACAGCAGTCAGGTATCATTCAACTGATACCAGAAGCAAGGGAAAGCTAGATATGTGTTCAAAAGCTGGCAGAAGCTGTTAAATAGGTGCCTGCCATATCTCAAGAGTAAGAAGGGTCATTGCTAAGGCTAGGGGCACAAGATGAGCCCCTGCAGTCTGGCATAACTAATAGGGCCTCCTCCAAAGATCTTGGTGAACGAGCAGATCTATATGGGAGTTGCTCTTTCAGATAACCCAGTTCTAGGGAATTATAAGTTAATAACAAAATGTTAAACTTGGCTTAATAGCAAGCTTAGCATTTCTTAATACCCATGTGTGCATTACATATCTGCCAGGTGAGGATTACACAATGCATCTGATAAAGTGGACTCTGCTCCACAAAAGATTATGCCAGGATAAATTTCTTAGTCTTTAAAAGGTAAAGGGACCCCTGACTATTAGGTCCAGTCATGGCCGACTCTGGGGTTGCGGCGCTCATCTTGCTTTATTGGCCGAGGGAGCCGGCGTACAGCTTCCAGGTCATGTGGCCAGCATGACTAAGCTGCTTCTGGCAAACCAGAGCAGCGCACGGAAACGCCGTTTACCTTCCCACTGGAGCGGTACCTATTTATCTACTTGCACTTTGACGCGCTTTCGAACTGCTAGGTTGGCAGGAGCAGGGACCAAGCAATGGGAGCTCACCCCGTCGTGGGGATTCGAACTGCCAACCTTCTGATCGGCAAGTCCTAGGCTCTGGTTTAACCCATAGTGCCACCCGCGTCAATTCTTGGGTTTCTGCTGTAACAGACTAATATGGCTACCCCTAAAGCTATGTGAAGGAATCTTTCCCTGGAGTAGGTTGACAAATACGAGGGCAGTTACGCTAGTTTCACTTTCCTTGAGCAGCAGTCCCTGTGATGAGTTCTTATGTTGTTGCAGTTTTAGCATAGCATGCTAAAATACTTGTTTTCCTATTTTATTCCAGGACAGTGCACTAACAAAGATGGACTTGTTAGTAACAGACACAAAAGCACTGGCAGAACAAATACTGGAGTGGAGAGAGAAAGTAAAGGAGATCTTTGAAAATTCACAGCTGACTGCTGAATCAGATTCCTGGTTCAGAAGTATAACTCTGTAATAGTGCACACTCCCTGCCATGCCTTTTCCTTCCCAATTCTCGGGCTACTTAGAAATTTGGTGTGTAGATAAAATGCATGTCTTCTATCACATTTAAAGTCACTTGTGTCTGTCTGAAATGTATATTTGTACGTAGAAATAGTGCTATGTTAGAAACTGACAACGGATGTTAAATGGCCCTCTTGAGGTTCTGAGGAATATTTTAAAGAAGCAATTTTATTATGTTGCCTTAATAAGACCAGCTTCATGTACATATGTTTTATATTTTATAGAAAATGTTTTATATAAACATTATCTATTTTAAAAAGTGAAACCACTCATATCTTGGTACAAAACTTCAATCAAAATACTGAACTATAGACTCTTTTGTATGGGTGGGAAAGCTTTGGATTCCACCCTGTCCTAATGTGCATATATGAAAATCTGTAGCTTGATACCTTTGCTCTTCATACTGTTGAATACTGTACTAGAAAATAATGCAGAGGAAGAGTATGGGAAACAGTATTCCATTAGCAATAAACAAACTGAATAAATACTTTTTCCTTTGTTTGTATTTGAAAGGGGGGCGGAATAAGCAACTGTATACAAATGAGCCTGTCACTATGCTAGCAAATGCCCGTGTTTCATAATCCTCCATCAGCTATGCTTGATTTGTTATAGCTTGTTATGACTCATCATCAGTCTCTCATCTCCATCTGATCTCTGTTCCAGCTGCTGAGAGAAAGCACAAGATAGATGTGCTGCTGTGTAAACAGCATCCTGAGGAAGACTGTTTTTTTCCCAGTGACAGGACCTGTGTTCTTTTTCACATGTTAAAATAAAAACTAAAAGCAGGGAACATCCCACAATAAACGCCCATATGCATACAACCTGGCAAGCAGGCATTTGTGTGTTTATAACCTAAACATGCTTTCTTAATAGAAATGGATGGGTAGTTTTTCTTTCACTCTCATACATTGAAGGTGGCAATTCTAACTCTTTCGTAATCCTTATATTTGTTTGTTCCTAAGTGGCATGTAGGTAAATGTGTAAATTTGCCCATGCAGTTAGCCAGTCCTATACACATTTCCTTTGAACTAAGTTGTGCTGTATTGAATTCAGTGGGATGTGTGTAGAGATTTGCAGTTTTTAGTTTAATATGCTTCAAAGACATTCATATCAGTTCCTTAATTTATTTCTGCTGAATTCTCTTTAAAGGAGTTAACCTGTTACTGATATTAACAGACAACTTAAACTACTAATTTAAGCAGATATTTCTATTAGAGTACATTCACAAAGTTCACATGATGCAACAACAGGACATAATTTATCAGCACTGTCCTAAGCATTAACTCAGCAGTCCTATTAAATCTGAAGAAATTTACTCCTTCATCAGCATGTTTAGGACTGCAGCCTCAAATCCAGAGTGCTACAATTTAATTTAAAAGAAAAGAACACAGCACCTGAGGTTTCAGATAAGATAATGAAAAGCAAATAGAATTTCTCAAAAACCTTGGTTTGTATTGAGAGTTGCAAAACATTGTGGGTCCATGATCCATGTTTAAATACAACTAGTGGTAAATTCTTACATGTTACACAGATTGTTTCATTTGAACAATCTCAAAATCTTTTCACAAAGACTTATGATGGCAAACGGAACTTCATACTGTTATATGCTGTCTGAGAAAAAGGAAGATAACAGTGGTTGACTCTTGACAGCTGATGACAACATTGAACAGATAACCTTTGTCATTTAGTCGTGTCTGACTCTTCGTGACCCCATGGACCAGAGCACGCCAGGCACTCCTGTCTTCCACTGCCTCCCGCAGTTTGGTCAAACTCATGCTGGTAGCTTCAAGAACGCTGTCCAACCATCTCGTCCTCTGTCGTCCCCTTCTCCTTGTGCCCTCCATCTTTCCCAACATCAGGGTCTTTTCCAGGGAGTCTTCTCTTCTCATGAGGTGGCCAAAGTATTGGAGCCTCAGCTTCACGATCTGTCCTTCCAGTGAGCACTCAGGGCTGATTTCCTTAAGAATGGATAGGTTTGATCTTCTTGCAGTCCATGGGACTCTCAAGAGTCTCCTCCAGCACCATAATTCAAAAGCATCAATTCTTCAGCGATCAGCCTTCTTTATGGTCCAGCTTTCACTTCCATACATCACTACTGGGAAAACCATAGCTTTTACTATACGGACCTTTGTTGGCAAGGTGATGTCTCTATTTTTTAAGATGCTAGTAACCACACAAATTTGAATGGTCATCTCTAATGGTCTTGGTGTGCTGATGCATTTGTCACTAGGGGGCATAATTGTGAATGGTTCCCTTTTGTTATCAGTAACAGTCTGAAAGTTTACATGCTTTCCACCACACCCCTGCTTTATTTTTAACTTTTAACTATTGGCTCACAGTGTAGATTTGAACAAGATTATAGATATCAGTATTAGCTCTATATTGCAAAATGGAAACAATACTAAACTCATAGTATTGTGAAGGTAAATACCTAAAAGACACTAAAGCTCTCTGAAAGTGAAAAGGTGCTGCATAAATAGTATTTTTAGCAGTATGAAGATAACTGTACAGTGTGAATGCACTCTGCCTTTCCTACCAGATAGAAGACATGATTGTATTCACCCAATACTGTGTCACCTGCACTGGCTGCCAGTATACTTACTAGATGAAAAGCTAGTGCTTCCCTCTTAAAAGCATTTCGTACAGTGGGCCCCATATTTCTGCAACCACCTCCCTAGTATTAACTATGACACTTTTAGTTACTGAGTCAGACCTTGCTCCATATACAACTTATCAGGAACATGACGGGGCCTTTCCTTCATCAGCTGCTTCAAGGTTTTGGAATGATTTCCCCTTAGAGGTGTGCAGTTTCTCCTTAGTGGGTAGCTGCACTTTATATTTTTTGTTTGCCCTTTGAGTTTTATAATTTAATTTTGAATAGTTTTGTTAGTATAAATCATCTTGAACCTTATAAAGGTGGCTACCAAGAATTTTGTAACAATACAAAATTTATTTTGTTGTAATACTACATAAGCTGACTCTTCTACTTATGTGCAGTATTAGTTTGGGTATCTTTCTAGGGAAGTTTTATATATGTGAGAATCTGCATTTTAGCAGGCTACTATAGATCTACTCATGTATACACTATAGAGTGGACCTAAAGCAGCCAAGGATCCAGGAAACATGCCATCAAGGGTGTTAGATGAGGCTCAGAGCAATGGGCCCACAACAGATAAAGCTCAAATTGCAAGATGGGGTGTTCGGATGGTGAACAAAGGTGTGTATCACAGCAGCAAGTGGAGAGTTCCAGTCAGGTAAGATCAGTCATGGGGTCAGAAGGCTCCTTGTGGCTTACAGGTGTATCCATGTATTGGTGATCAGTTTCTGGTCGACTCTATTGCCCAGTAATTGCTGGCATTTTTGCAAAGAATGCTGGATTTTGCAAACTTTGGCCTGATTCAGCAAAGGCGATTTATTCTGCACCTTTAGGATTGCTTACTACAGAATTATGTGCCAATCACAGTTTACCTCTTTCTAAATAAAACAATGCACCGAGAAGATTCCTGTTTTTGTTCTTCAAGGAAGCACGCCATCCTTGTTCTACGTGTTGTTATTAAGCGAGCCAGAGCCCACCTCACCACAGGTGCTGTTTTTGAGAAGCCAGATGTGGTTTATTTTCTTTTTTGAAGCACATGTGTTACCCGCATTGGGGTGAGATATTGCTGGACTTTCTATTATTATTATTATTATTATTATTATTACTACTACTACTACTACTACTACGGCGTTACCCAGCGCCCTCTTTAGGCCAAGAGTGGAAAGTTGTCGAGTTAAGCGTCTTTCCATACTCCATGAACTTCTCTCAAGTTTCACCCTGACTTGGAGTATTCCCCACCCGCCCAGAAGTTGGAGCAGCCGGCCACTTAGCCGCAGACCCAGCGCCTCACGGAAAACGGAGGGAAATTGGAGACACCCGCTTCCCTCAGATCGGCCCAGCAGCAGCAGCAGCAACCCCTCCCTCCCCATTTCCTCTCCTCTCCCCAGGCGGCCAGGCCCTTCCCTCAAGAGCAGCTGCGCTGCGCTGGGCGGGGTCGGGCCGCGTTTCCCCTGCCCAGGGCTCTGCGGAGAGCCGAGGCGCTCGGAGGAGGACGGCGGGGATGTGATGCGGAGTCGTGGCTTCGGCGGCCGCGGTGGAGGGGAGGAGGGGGCGCCTTTTGCTGCAACTCAAGACGGGACATGGCGAATGTCAAAGTGGCGGTGCGGGTCCGGCCTCTCAGCAAAAGGTGGGCCGGGGGTGGCGCTGGGGCGGCTGAGGGTGGCAAGAGAGGGAGTCGACCTCGAAGACGCAGACACACGTCTATGTGCACAAAGGGTGGGAGAGGACGCTTTTTGCACGCACGCGCCGCCAACTTGTTTGCGCCGTAGCGCGGCTTGTGGGACCGTTATGTGCGGCGCTCGCGTCTCCTATGTGGAGGAGCTGCCAGGTTCACATGTGCTGGTTGCAATGGTTTCGTCGCTTGCAGAAAACCTGGGCAGCCCAGGAACTGAAGCGCTGGGCTGGGCTGAGGGGAGGAGGGAAGCTGGTGCTGCGACGTGATGGAGCAAGAAAGGTCGTGGTATCGCCTCGCTCAGCCTGATGTTGTGGAACTACAAAGTATATTGTCCAGTAACGGGAGGGGTGAGAGGAATGCGTGGCCAGAGAGAAGGGAGGGCTGGGCATCAGTGAAAAAGGTGCAAATGGAACATAGGCGCCAACTCCTAGGGGCCGAGATTCCCTCACCCCCCAGTAAAATATTTGAGGGTGCAGTGCTTCCCCCCAAAAGTTGATGGGCATCACCATTGAAATGGTGTGTGCACACCATGTCTTGTGATAGATTATGTGGGGTGGGACTGACCTGCCACCACCACCCCAATATTTTGTTCAAGTTGGCACCCCTGAAATGGAGACGGGTTGTGTTAAAGGGGGCTATAAGAAGTGTGGCACATTTCTAGGCAGTCTCTGTTTAGGTATACATTGGTACCTCAGGTTACATATGCTTCAGGTTACATACACTTCAGGTTACAGACTCCACTAACTCAGACATAGTGCTTCAGGTTAAGAACTTTGCTTCAGGATGAGAACAGAAATCGTGCTCCGGCTGCGCGGTGGCAGCAGGAGGCCCCATTAGCTGAAGTGGTGTTTCAGGTTAAGAACAGTTTCAGGTTAAGTACGGACCTCCGGAACGAATTAAGTACTTAACCTGGGGTACCACTGTATAGTACTCGGAACTCCAGTGAGACTTGTTTATTCCCATGAAACAAGCATGCTGAGTACGCTATGCTTTGTCTACATGATATATTTGTTATAGGAATGCTCTGCATTATTAAAAACGTGTTTTGAGTTCATAACAACTTGGCTACAGTTGAATTATTTAAAGGCCTTTCCAGGCAATGAGTTTATACTAGTGTATTAAATGTGCAATTGCTATGGGGTCCAGTTGTCTTCTCCCAAGACTCTACTTTTGATGCTAAAATATTGCATTTTCCACACAAACTGCACACTTAGGACTCTGAGAATGTGATTGGTTTTTTTCCAGTTGCCATGTTCACTGCTTTTGTGATTGCTTCATGGAACACAAAGTATAATAGACAATCGTAGAAACTGTACCTGCAGCACCTAAAGATGAGGAAAACTAAACTTTCCCATGCTGTTTTATAAACTTGTTATTTTTAATCACTTGACGTCCTTGGTTTCTATGCCCTCGCAGGAGTTTGCTATTCCAGTGATGGAGTGCTCATCTAACATTACTTTATAATTACCAAAAAAATTGAAAGGCAAGCTACTCCTCTCCCGACAGAGCCTTGCCAGTTCAGAAAACCTTAAGTTGTTACTTAATTTCTT